GGGAACTGTTCCCTACATCTTAAGATAAGCGAGATCCCCATAGTGGTGCTCGAAAAATGGATACCTTATAGATAGAGCCTTAAACTCTCATTGAACCATATAATTCCAGACTTTAGATCAGTCTTCATCATCATTCATAAGATGCTTCATGAAATTAGAAATTAAGACCTTTCATTATAATACCTCCTAGTTCCACCCCCCCCCCCCCGACCCCTCCGCCCCGTACTTTGATAAAAGGACAGAAAGATGGACAGTAGTTGGTAGAAAACGGTTCCTTTCGATGAGACCTTTCATTAGAATACCATGAAGTGTAGAACATGTCCCCCCCCCCGCCATTTCGTAAAGTTTAACTTAGCACCACTAAAGGCATGCAAAATCTGAGACTAATTGGTTGAAGTATGTAAAAGCTATGCACATTTTACTTTCAAAAACAGCATCTCAGGAAATAATTCGTGGGGGGGCTTTCAGACAGCGAAATTTGATGGCCGTCTGGCACACCTTCAAGGTATAGGCCTATCTACTGCAAAAAAAATTCTAGGACTCTAAGACCATTTCCCTAGAAGTAGTTCAAAAGGTAGAAGTGGGTCCGGACGGACAAAACGCAAACAATAGCAAATTTTTTGTAATTCTTAAAAAATGCGCTAAAAAATACATCGAGATAACAAAATCATTTGAACACACTGGAGCAGAATTTACTTTTCTTAACCTGCAGACAACCCTACACTCCTACCAAGCCGCAATCTCTGAGTAAATGGATCAAAAGAACGCTTTCTATAGGCGGAATCGATACAGATAAATTCAAACCTCATTCTACACGGCGCGCTTTGGACTCGACAAGAGTATAATTAAACGATTCAACGAACTTACTTCCAGTGAGGTTCGATTTTAATTATATGACGCGTCCGATCCGAATACATTATTCCCTCCTCCCCGCCCTTAGGTATCCCCTGGAAACTTAATGCTGAATTTTCATTTTCTTTAAACGCTTGTAAGCAGACTACCTGGGCAATAATGTATTTGGACTGAACGCTTCAAAATTCACTTCAGATGAGTTCGTTTGATTGTTTATACAATTACAACCACAAAGAGGTGGAGGAGGAAGGGGGGGGGCAAAGGGCAAATTATGCCTTCGCCCGCTTAATTCATATGCGGTAGAGCTTGAATTCGGACACCCTGTATGTAATTCGTCTCAATTTATTTCATAGGACTTGGGGAAATTTCGTAACAAAAGACAGAGAATTGGAATAGTACATTGAAATACAAGTGCAGAAACGGTATTATTGAAAAACGAGTATAAATGTAGGAACACGAGCGCCAGCGAGTGTTCCTATTATACGAGTTTTTCAATTACAGTTTCGGCATGCGTGTTTCATACTATTTTTTCTACGAAAGTGAAAAATTCTTCTCTAGAAATTAGAAATTTCAACTAGCCAAATAACGACAAAAAATCGTATAGTCTGATCGTAGTTGGATGTTTCAATTGTAAATGATCCAGTAAGCCGGTTGCCATGACAAAACATAATTGTTTGAAAAATCGTAAATTTAAGTCAAACAATTTGTGGCGTAGTGAAGAAGTGTTAAGATAGATTTTGACGAAACTGAAGATGAAGAAGGTATGTGCACCCAGCCGGACGTTGCGGAAATGGCTAATGCGGTTTCGCATGAATTGCTACCCCAAAAGTGTAAGCAGCGTTTCGGAAAGGAGCGTTTTCATAAGAGAACAAATCGCTAAGTTTTTGGGAGAAGCGCCTGATGAAACATTTGTAATGATGAAGGTTTGTCAATTTCTTATTGTATTTTTAAATCATAAATAAGCATAATTTAATTACAGGTTGCTCTCGTCCTTGGAGTGGCTGGAGCTTGCCGTCGGAGCGAACGTTGTAAAATGACTGTAACGGATTTCACAGAACAAGATGCAATTTTATTGATACTTAACGATTCCTGACTCCAAGAATCATGTCCCAAGAACGTTTTCTGTAGCAGAAGGCAAAGAAAATTCTACCATTGTCTTATATAACGAAACTGTGAATAAAGCAATACAATTACAAAGAGTTACTTCGCATATGTTTATTAGCGTGTAGAAAATGCGTGCAGAAAATATTTTTTTGTACTCATTGAATGGAAAGATAATGTTTCCAAGCATCCTCGATGCACGGGAAAACGACTTTCCCGCATCGCGGTGTTTTTTAGTTTCCGCTGGAGAGAAGGGTTATGCGCGTTCTTCGGTTGGTAGTACTTATTGAAGTCAACGAACGTCATGTCATGGTTAACTGTCATCTGCTGTAAAATCAATTAAACCGTTGGTTGAGGGTATTTAGTGCGATTAATCGGAAACAGACGTACACTAAGTTTTACGTAAATATATAAACAAGAAGTTATAACGCAATCAAATTATTTTTCAGAATTGGAACTCAAGAAAAAGTAAAATTTATTGTTAAAACGTCTTAAAATGTGACCAGTGACATTCTGCAACTATTGGCATATGCAGTTTAAGAAAGCACATATTAACACACACAAAGCTTCCAAGGATTTTAAATGTAACGAGTGTATTTACGCAACTCAAGATATTCAGTGAAAACGATGCAATGCCGTGACCAGTAGTAGCACTCATTGCAAAGGCAAAATATGTATTAACCAAAGATGTGGAAGTTTTAAATGTGACCAGTGCATTATTAAAAGTTGGTAGTTACAAAATTATGTTACCAACCAAACATATGATTGTGTTACCAACTCATGATTAAAAAAAAGCTAATTTACAAAACTTTATTAATTTTGACTTTTTTTTACGCAATTCGTTACAAAAAATATTGTACCTAACTCTTTCGGAAAGAATTTTCCCGCATTCGCACTAAATGCAGCACTCCCTACGGTCGTGCTGCAAACAAAGTGCTCATGCGGGAAAATTAACTTACCGAACTTGTTAGGTAAATAACTATTGCCGCACTAGTGTTTCAAAGACCTGTTTTCACAATCAATTTACCTACAAAAACAATCGTGTTTCTACACTTTCGTAGAAAAAATTTTTTTTTTCACTACTAGCGTCTGATGACATGATTATTAACCTTTTTTCCACTTGTAAAGTAGGCTTTCTCGGCATTTGAGGCGCTTTCTTTCGGTGATCCAAACGCGTTTGGATTGTCAAGTCACGTTCTTTCGAAGTGTGATCTTATAATCATGATTGCTAAAATCGTGAACAAACTGAACATAAAATTTTTTGGACAAGAATTCCTAACCTATAAATGCAAGGATATTTTTGCTCAAATGTTAGATTAGTCAATATTTGTAACTGAAGCGGAGCATAATCGTGCAGGTACTTCCACTTGTATTTAAATTATTTTCATAATCCAAACAAAAAATACATAATTCGAATGCAAATGTGCGCTATGTAAACTTAACCATACTTTGATTTAAATTCGCGCGTTCTTTCGTAAAACGTGATCCTACTAATCACGATCTAGAAATCATGATTGCGAAGTAGCCGAAAGAAAGCGCCTTTGTTCAAAGTGGTTAATAATTTTTTATTATTAACTAGTAGTCAATAATGAGAACTGTCACGCTGTCACTTTTAGAAAACACACCCCGAAATTGTTCTCAATGAACGTTTAGACAAGTTCTCTAAAACGAATAATTGCCACCATTCGCAATTTCCAGAGAAATTACATACCTAAAATTATCACATTTTGAAAAAATTCGAACGAAATTACTCTTTGAAAAATCTCAATGACAGAACAAAATACGGCCTGTTTGACTTGTACTTCCACGTACTTGATTGACATGTTAAATTAAGAAACAAACAATTCTGTCCAACCGTTAACTCTCTTATCAATATAATATGTTAATTTAGAGGATTTCAAGTGCTAGTAGTGAAAAAAATAGTATATATACCACGGTAGAGAAGTCTATTACTTCGCACCTTACACCCCTCGGCGCAAGCGCCTCGAGATGTAATCTTGGTGCTCAGGCAATAATAGTGGACTTCTCTACCTTGATATATAATGTACTATTATTGTGAATTTAAAAATTGTTTAAACCAGTTAATTGTATTTGTTGTATTTAGTGAGTTCCTTAAATATTAGACTGGAATAAATAAGGTAAAAGTTTTATATAGCCAGATGTTTTGTAAACTTTTCTATCGGACAAATTAATTGGCTTTATTTACTAACAACGCCATGTGCAGATAATGAAAGCAGGCGTTTATTATAATACGAGCGACGAAGCCGCGTGTTTCGAGAATCGCCGGAGAATAAACACTTGGAACAGATGAGTGGAGGTGGTTTGACTGTTCAGTACAAAGAATTGGAAATAATCGATGCTGTTTGGAGGTCAATTAAAGAAACGTTGTTGTTGCGCTAGATTTATCTACTATGAGCAAGTTTTCGCCGATTACGTTTGAAACTTACACATGCGGTTCCACAATTAAAAGGACAGTCCTTGTCCAGTTGATAAAGTGTAGTTAATTATCAGCCGATCGGCCGTGATAATTATTGGTTAAACTCATCCAACACGTTATTGTATTACCCAAGTTATGTGTGAGTTAAAAGCTGTCAGCTCTATGTAAAGTCTCTGTTTTGTCGTTCTCTTGAATTGTTCTTTTTTTTAAATTGTCCGTTGTGTAAACGCTTTGTGTGTGTGTTAAAAAAAGTGTTGTTAACTTTAATTTTTTCCTGTACCTGTACCATTTCACACAGCAATATTTACTATGATCGTCCATCCGTTGATCCATATGGTATGGCGCTATGTGTATTGTAGGTGGTTGTGATGTCAATTTGAGGTCACCTTAGGTAGGGTTTATTGACACCTTACTGAGTGCAACTTGAAATGCCTCCATAATTGTAAACTGTATTTGTCTATATTATACAATGGGATTTCAGTCACTACACTTATTAAGATACAATAATTAATTCCACAAATCATTTACTACAACTTATCTAACAAAATATGAACTTTACCGTAGAATGAATTATTGCTTCAACAGAACAAAAAAATGAAATATACGATACCTGAGACGCTAGCTGTGCTCGGTATCATATCCCTTAAATTGGGCGCGCTGGAACTGCCGGATATGACCGCTGTAGAGAACAGCGAGTTCGTATTCTCTCCCGCGACCTTTTTAAATGTTAGGGGACCATAACCAGTTCCCAACATTTTGTAGTAGGTCATTTGCCCTGCAATAGAGTGACGGTGACGTTTGCTACAGCTGCTGCCACTGCTAACCTCTAAAATGAATGACTGTTGTCATAAGCAATGCTTAGATGCATATTGTATCTGCAGTACTAGTTCTTTTGAAAATAAAAGTTGTTAGATGTATATTGAAATGAACGTACCTTCGGTTCCATCGAGTAAACAAACCTTTAATCAGTATATGTAACCAATTACTTTAAAAATAAGCGTCTTCTATCATACTAATAAGCGGCAAATGTTACTACAGTCAGTGAAAGATTAATAAGTTTCAAATTCTAGCTTTACTCAACTGAGAAAAAACAAAGTCAAACCTTTTCGTTTAATATTTTTAATTAGTCTAGGTAGGAAAATCTATTCTCAATTTTACAAGCCATTGGTTTTGGCCCCAACGCAATGATTTAAACGGTGCACCAAAGTAATACTAATTTGTAAACAACACTACATGTTTTTTATTATTAATACTGTTATGACTAATAGATAGCAAGCTGTCAACCAAATTAAGTACTTCCAATGAATGTTTTTGAGCAATATCATGTTCATCTAACTGTAGTGATTGCAATGTGGTATAGAAGGAAACAGATCTATTCAATATACACAATGAATATAATAATATAATTTAAATAGTTTATTTATTTATTTTTAGACTTTAATTTTAAGTGGGCGGGGTTTCAGCCAAGGGCTGCATATAAAAATTTCCAATCCACACTGCGTTCAGCGGTCATGGTCAGTTTCAAAAACTGCAGCCATTTTCTTAAAAGAGAATTTAATATGCTATCTTTTTAGATTAAATACATTAAAATATACATAAATAAAATTAAAAATCTTTTTGAAAGTTGTTTGTATTTTTTGCATCATTTAAACCTTTTTTCAATTTATTTACATTATTTTAAAATCTTTTTTGAATGTTCAATCAATATTGAATTTTTTTAGTACTATATTTTTGAAGAGAATTTATCTTTTTAGATAAAATAGATTAAAATATACAAAGTATTTAAAAAATTAGGTTAGGTTCGGACATTATAAAGAAACTTCTATAATAAACATTTTTCTATATCTACACTTTGATCTTAGCCATAGGCCGAAATCTCTTTTAACCAAGAAGTTATAGGGTCATTTTGAAGTTGACAATTTGTTGATTTCCTCCGTACCTCAGTACCTCTTACGTGAGCGAATATTTTCAAATTTTGATTTTACCATTTTAACTCGAAAAGAGTACATAACGGCTATATTACTAGTTTCATAGCACTACCTATTATGGAGACACCCTATAAGTGTCAAAAATGGGACACACTGTACCTACATGATGAACCTAATGCCAGTTACACCCATCTCTCTCTACACCACATTTCTGTAATCACCACCTCATACATATTGATATGACGTAGTAGTTTTTGGAAAAGATCATAGATTCTACAATCTTTCTTCATTGATTTCATTTTAGTAGATACTATTTTCTAACTCAAGGTTAAACAGTAAGTGGGCTGAGCTCAAAAACAGCTTTAAGAACACTAATACTGCTAGAACAATAGATTCCGGGTTATATGGAACATCAATCCGGTTAATCTGATTAATTACGCACGGGTTTTTAGTAGCAAGCTGCTGTGTTAAAATGGTTAAACGAAACTATGAACATTAGTAAAATCTAACCTTGCATTCTTGCAGTCATAGCGTACTGATCGTAACTTCTCGATCTAGCCTCAATGTCGGGACTCTTTGCTCTCTCTGGCTTATAACCATACTTTTCTCTATGCGCCTGTTGGGCCAACTCTTCATTTAACCTTTTGGCTAAATTCATCGCCTCGTGTCCGCTAACAGTATGACAAGATCTACAATTTACTGAGCAACCTCACCAAATAAAAGAAAGATAAATATAGTACCCCATAGGTATGGATCGTGACGATTTGTGAAGGGAATGTCTACAGGGTGAAGTTGGAGAAAAATCGCTAGGACTAAGCTGAAAATGTATCCCTTTATTGTTATTGTTTTGTCGTTCCTCAATGCTCATCTCCATTTCTTCGTCGATGCAAGTTGAATACCTACTACTTCTGGATTCGTCAGGAGTCGCAGTATCTGAACTGTTTCCACTCTAAAAACTTGTAGAGTCAGTTAATGCATTTGTTCGCCCAATCATTACCGTGCTTCTGCTAGCTACAGAATCGTTGCGAGAGTGCGGTCGAAAACCGGGACCAGGAGGTAAATTTTTTTGAACACAGCAATTGACTCCAGGACTAAAGTGAAGTTCGACATGAAAGCGTTCATCGCTCGAAGGATCCTTTGTGGGATCTTCATAGAGCATGATTACCACCTGAGACATGTAATTTAACTCGGATACCATAGAAACATATTCCATCGCACGTCGCCACTGTTCATCTGTAACGACCTGTGAACACAACAAAAATATCAGTGTAACCAAGTGCCATTTAGCAAACTTACATTGAATAAACCGCCGTAACGAAGGCAGGTAATTAGGGAGTGCACGTGACTCTCGCTGGTGAAGTACAATCTGGTGCGTACGTGTCTGCCTGGACTGGAAACGCCGTGTGAATATATCGGATTCAGTCGATTGACTGTCTCGTCATCCAGTTCTTCTATATTACGCTGAAGATCCGCTCTAATTTTTTTAAGTAAAGGAGTGCATATACCCTGTCCAATAGACAATTTCTCTTGTGCTGTTAAACCATACTCCTATAATTGATACATCATAAAATACCCTTAGTTGATGTATGAAAGAAAATATGAGGTCTGACAACACATTTTTAATCCTAACATAATAATATCTTGATTTCAGTATATTACAAAATGTGTCCTACATATTGTTGTATAAATTACGTCTTTCGGACGTTTTATTTCGCTTCGGCACCTGCAATAACGATGGGACACCCTATATGTGAATTTCATTGATTGTTAACGTTAAATGTTGGTTGGAATTTGAGATTATTTACGTAGCACTTGTAAAAGTTTATCTCATGTTTTTTCAGGTCATTGCGATAAGAGCGTTATCGCTACGTAGGCTAATATTAATGTTAAGATAAGGACGTCTTATCGCCGGTTAGAAAACACGGGTGCACACGTAAATACACGGCGCGATGCAAAGAAAAAACTACGGGCTTGATTAACTTAGTGAAGACATATAGAGCGCAAGCCAACCAAACGGTATGTTTGATAGTCGGCGAACGTAAACTGTAGTAATTTTCTGTGAGCCGCGTGAATTGGGACGGCAAATACATTCTCCTATATTTGAGTTGCAATTAGAGTCCATGTACTGTATGGTCTAAGAGGGGAGCCCACGATGCTACATGAAGATTTATTCAAGCATCGCAGGGATCTATTGAACTTTGTAGATTAGATAGCAGAAAGAAAACCAGTTATATGATGTACCGGGTGACCCAATAAGACTGTTCCTCGGCCATATCTCGGGAACCGTTCGTCGTATGACTTAGGGGTCAAAAAATTATTAGGTAAATCGATTATGAAGAATCGCTGGAAAATATTTTCAAGTTCTAAAAATGACCACCAGAGGGCGTAACTGCCATCTTAAATTTTAAAATTGCATTTTCTTTCAATTTCGCATATTAAACTAAACATTTTTTTTTCACATTTTTAAAGAAAACCAGATTATCTATCATTTTCGTAAAAACAAAAACCCAGTTATTTCTTAAACAAAGATGGCGTGGGGCGTTTAATTGTTTTTGCAATAACCTGCTTTAACTGCTTACCCGTTTGACCGATTGTAACAAATTTGGTATCGTTGAAAAGAGCATTCCTTGGGCAACAAGCATCAACCAAAATATAGTTAATTTAGTTGGATCCATCTCCGCCGGGGGGGGCTAGTTTTGACATTATGACCCAAAATCCTAAAAAAATCAAATGGAATGATATGACTTTTTCTTTATGAAAAAGTCATATAGCCAAATAACAACCAGAGGCCAGTGAAAACCGTTTTTCAAAATCTCGTGCAATATTGGGAAAATGAGATAATTAATTAGTTAATTAATCAAAATGCTTAAATTGTATCTTTTCTAAAATGCTGATTTCTAACCAAGAAGCATTTAATATGCTGGCGGCGATGGTTGGTGGTCAATTCGGATAACGCAAATAGAAGATGTGGGTAACGATGATCGCATTTTGAAAATACTCAAAATATATCGCACTTTCTGAATGTAAACACAGCAGAATAATTTACAAATTACGGCTGTTATTATTTTATAATGCATCATGTTTCATTTGTTTAATTTTCCAAGGTCTACCTAAAAGTGTAGAGTGCTTTTCTTTCGTGCCATCGACAAATACCTGAAATACGTAAAAAGTAAATTAAAGATACAATTTAAGCATTTTTATTGATTAATTAATTATTAATCTCATTTTCCCAATATTTGAGGTTAGGAACGAGATTTTGAAAAACGGTTTTCACTAACCTCTTTGGATGTTATTTGGATACTTTTTCATAAAGAAAAAGTCATATCATTCCATTTGATTTTTTTAGGATTTTGGGTCATAGTGTCTAAACTAGCCCCCGGCGGAGAAGGATTCAACTAAATTAACTAGATTTTGGTTGATTCTCATTGCCCAAGGAATGCTACTTTCAACCATACCAAATTTGTTGAAATTGGTCAAACGGTTAAGAAGTTAAAGCAGGTTATTGCAAAAACAATTGAACGCCCCACACCATCTTTGTTTTGAAATAACAGAGTTTTTTTACGAAAATGATAGATAAACTGGTTCTCTTTAAAAACGTGAAAATTTTTTTTTTAGTTTATTATGCGAAATTTAAAGAAAATGCAATTTTAAAATTTAAGATGGCAGTTACGCCCTCTGTTGGTCATTTTTGAACTTGATAATACTTTCCAGAGATTCTTCATGACCGATTTTACCCAATAATTTTTTTTACCCCTAAGTCATATGACGAACGGTTCTCGAGATATGGCCGAGGAACAGTCTTATTGGGTCACTCGGTACATCCCTCCATCGGTGGGGGGTGCATCTACACTTTTTTAATAATGCACAAAAAAATAGTCACATAAAAACACTCGAGTGCGTAAGATATTGATAGTATATATGCCCCACGTATCTCTGATATTGGAGTTCATCCCACACAGGAAGCCCGCCGGGCCTCGTCACACAGCTCAGTAATTTGCACGTAAGGAAAATGAGGGAGCGCACACCGAAAACGCGTCGTGCTGTGGAACCATAACCACTGTGGAATTGTTCCGCCGCCGGAATCCTCGGGAGAATACGAAGTGGAATTTTACCACTGGGTAGGCGTGGCGCGCTCGCAGTGTGCAATAGGAGTGGAACAGTTCTTGGAGCGCGGCCACTTTTCGAGGGCCTTCGCTACCTCTCGTTCATCCGGAAGCTTGTAAAAGATTGCCGGTGACATATTGGAAAAATTTCCGCTAATTCTTTAGTAAATGGGAAAAACGATCGTGAAACTACCCTGGTCTGTCCCTCCTCCCGTTTATGGAATGAACACACATCTGTCTATCCCTCTTCTTCTTTAAAATCTTCACCCTCAGGATTGCTCATCTTAAAATACAAATGAGTACTGCTTGGTACATAGGCACGGGAGAGAATGGCGGCAACGGGCGGAAAAGAGCAAAAGGAGTCTCCGATGTGCGACCTACCGTGGAATTTTACATCTGGAGGTTAGGCGCGGCGCGGTGCGCGCGCCGCGCTACCTGTGTGGGATGAGCTTTAATCTGCCTGTTTGCGTGGTGAAAGAGACTGTACGGAAGGGTATAAAACGAGATTTATCGAGCGCGTCAGATTGTACGTTGTACGTAGGACACTATTGATGATTTGTTCTACTTTACTTAGACTTAGGGATTCGCCCTGTATAACACCATCTTATCGATAGGTAATTATCGATTAATGGATAGTAGATTAATTTTAAACAAATGGTCAACTAATCGATAATTTATCGAAAATTAATGAAAAATGTATAATATCGATTAATCAATAACAATCAGAGATCGACAATTTTCGACAGATGTCAATAATAATCTATTATTACCGACAGTTAACGACCATTATTGATTATTATCAAAAGTTATCAATAATTATCGATAATTATCAAAAGTTATCGATAATTATGAAAAGCTATCGATAATTATTGATAGTTATCGATTAACGATTAATCGATAATTATCAGACTAAACAGACTTATCGATAAATCGATAACAATTTCAATTATCGCCCAGCACTATATAGCAATCTTCACAGATCTTTTGAATCTTTCTGATAAGATTATACATTTTAAAGCCCTTTATAACATCTGCACTGAACATAGGGTGTTCCATATTGAGTAGAATTGCAAAGCTGACTTTTTTATTATAGATAGGCATTAGGTTAAATAAGCCGATTGTCTATTTTGTTTACTGTTCAGACCTCATACAGAAATAAAAATTAAGATCAATACTTACTTGCGGAATCACAATATCGGCTAAGTACTTCGAATATACATACAATTCCTCAGCTTGTTCAAACTGAAGGGTATGTTGATTATGTTGCAGATCATACTTTATACAATCATAAATATCTGGTATTTTGCTAATGTCAAACCGTTTGTTTTTGGTACAAAAATCTTTCTCAATCTTTCCCCACCGGCGTCCCATCAACTCCCACGTCTCGCCGTGGTACAAAACCACGTCTGCAAAATGATTAATAGAATTTAAACAATCGAAACATCGCATACAAAACCTTTCGCTTTTGAATCCTCCTTTTTCAGGCGGACGATGTTGAGCAGCGACTTAATAAGTTCGTGAACATGCTGGCAACATCTGAATGGATTCTTTACAAAATCTAAGGCATCCGATATGCTTGAAGAATTGCAAGGATTAATTTTTTCAATATCTTCTGCACTAAAATCCCTATTTAATTGCATTAATTCGTGCAGGCGAGATTTACACCTACACAAAGCATCAAATCAATGAAATTTATACGACTTATCCCTCTGACATACATATTTTGGTATTTGCTACTATCACAGTCGTTATCTAATAATCCGTTTGTATTGGCACTTTTCACCATCTGTACTAAAATTGGTGTGAGCTCGCCCTCTAATGCGAGTAGGCCTTTTGCAAATGCCGCGGCAGTCATCTGCACTCTCCCTTCGTCCGATGCGTAGATTTTCAAATCGTGGCGGAACGTCGAATGTAGCCTTAATAAACCCAATCCTTGTGCACCAGCGTACTCTCCTAAAGTTCACGAAATGTAAGCGTAAAAAACTGGAATATCTTTAAAAAATGAAGCCAAATATATAACTTCATTACTAGATGTCGCACATATAACAGACAGTGTGCAAAAGGTACATGCACAACGTATCAAAGTAAACAATAACCGAAATTATACGTTACCACTACTACATTTTGTGTGCGAGAGAGATTGCATCCATTTCAGTGATCGCAAATAAATTTAAATAGAACTAAAAATAAAAAAGCAGCTTACGAACCGGCCAAATGTCTACCTTGGCCCCCGGGGTACATACAACGGAAAATTCTTCCCAACTCTTCCGCTTGAATGCGTCCGGCCGGCGTCAGCTCTCCGCCCCATTTCAAAATTAACACCAATGACGGTTCGGCGGGAGGATCTGATGGTAAAATGATAATTAGCATGTGAATCGACTCATACTACAAGACATCTACTTATTTTACTCGCAAAAAAGCACTTGCAACTAGTCAGTATGTAGTTTGAAGCATAATTTCGGGAATATGGTTATGTATTTATGGATAAAAATTGCCAAAATTGATCAGATATACATTTAGGTTCTCCCTAACAATAATAGGTATAATATAGACCTAGACCCTTATGCCTGAAATATGGATGCTGGTTCCTTCCTGTATTGATCACCATTCCGCTTCGATTGCAAAAGGTTCGGGGAAATGCGTGCCATACAGAGTAACTATACAAAAACTTACAGTAGGTTATATTGCACAAACAATTACATCAAAAAAGGTCAAAACCGGGAACTAAAATGACATACAGAGGACCTCATCAATTCTCTAGGTCCCACCTATCTCAGTTGTGAGTGGTTTCATTAAAAGTGGCGCTTAATTGAGCTAAATGGTAAGGCTAATTATAGATTTTTATGTTTATCACGGGTCGCACAATTACATTAAGAAAGTTTTTGAATCTAAACCATCGAATGCGCTGTGTCCGCTGGGAAACCGTCGATCCCTCCATAAAATGGCAGAATTTAACAAAATGTAAAGCTGTTGTTTAGAGGGGATCTTTTTGCCTTTGGTGTTCAACTAAAACGTACGATCTTTTGGCATTTCTTCGCTGTGCTCTAACATATTGTATTGAGAATCTTTATCACAATACCGTTTAATTTTAATGATAAGTGTTTGACTTTCCAATTACCTATTTGCTTTGATTTTCCTGTATTTGATTTCTTGTAGCTGCCGCTAATTAATTTATGCTTTTGTTCATTGCGTTCCCGTTGGGGCAATCGCTACTGTGTCCGTGTGCGGTAATTATCTTTAGTTGCCTCCCTGGGAGTAACCGCCCGCCGAATTCTGAACTAAGCCGTTACTTCAACTGACTGCCTGTGGCTACCGATTGTGCCAAAGCTCTGTGACCGTTCCAAAACCGCGGACCTCGGTCTGAGCATTGTTTTTTTCTCCTAGTGGCGCTCAAGTCTGCTGGTGGTGATTTAATTCCAATCATTTATTTATTTTTCTTTCAATAAAATTTTAATTTATTCCGCTGATTATATTGCTTAATTTTCATGCCATTTGTGCGCGGACTTCCTAACAAAGTTCATCGCACGGGGGAAGAACTAGGGGTGGGTCTCCAAAAACGTGGATTCTGAACCGCCAGATGACTCTTTACACCATGCAAGAAAAATTAGAACTACAGCTCGCTTATTCCTCGAAGAAGCATGATCATTTCAGTGGAAGCCCGCCTACTAGATGCGCTGTAAACAGTGACCGATACTTGGGTGGTCATTACGTTGGATTATTAAAATAACATCTTCTATAATCATGACAAATCCGAATAGCAATATAATTGGAAATGGTCATTAATAATTGATATAAAATGGGCAGAATTCCCTTGTTTACTGTTTAGTTAATGTATTTAGTAGTAAGGCTGTGTACTAATAAAATTTGTCAATTTGTTTTAAGAGGATTGGATACCCCAATGATATGCGATTTTCGCTACACTTATCTTCGTTATTTTTAATTCGATTTTCATGAGGTTTTCGACAATGTAATTCTAATTTATCGGTAAACGGCGCTATTTCATTAAAATTTTAAATTTGTGAATATTTTGAACTAAACTTTGTTGTTAAAAATCATTACTTTGAACAATTGAAATAGCGCCGTTTACTTATACATTTCGGACACAATTATCACCAGCTAATTTAATTGTAAAAATCAATAACGAAATTAGAGGAATAAATAAGATTTACCTCATAGATGGCGCGTGATTATAAAAATCTTGTGTCCGTGATGAATAAAGAAAGGTACTACGAATGTGGCAACGCCGCGGAGAGTCGTCTAATAGCGCAGCGCGCTTCTAGGCACAAATCGTTTTGTTTTATGAAATAATGAAACCAAGATAATGCTAGATTACCGTTCTAAATTCGTCTAGTCCGCGTATGACGTCACGCGGAACTTAAAATTTGAATTTATAATGACCGAAGGCCTGGACCCTTTAATACCTTTACTCTTCGAATAAATTACATAGATAAGATACCGTTGCCGATACAATCGTTGTCAAGGCACTTATTTGCCGAATAAATTTATCAAGATGAAGAACTGGCCCTAAGAGCAAAAGTAAGTTGAAATTATTGTATCCTGGTTTTGTTTCGCTTTCGGACCGCGGTACGGTAGTTTCGAATTCGATTGCTTAGCGGGTATGACCTCGGGTGTGACTCAATCTTACGTGCAAAGCAAATAAACGACATAAGACCCTGAGAGTAAAACGAAAAAGCCGCAGAAAAATTACATTACTTTCAATGTAAAGTAACAAAACATTTTTAATGTAGCAGGTAAGTAGAGAGAGGCAAATGGAGCATGGAGCAAAACATCAATAAAAATAACAAAACATTATTTTGTGTTACTACAGGACACATTTTTCAGTGTTTCCAAAAAAAAAGCAAAACAGAAACAGAATTTTCCATACATTCCAAGCCTAAACATTTATTTTTTGGTTGGCTACTAGAGCACCTATCCTGTGAATACACATTTTTCTTGCTTTTGTTTAAAAAATTACGCAATGAGCTATCATTTTTGTTGCAAATACTTTAAAAGTCGAACTTGACCTAATAGTCTTAAGAGTTGGCTACGGAAAAAAGTGACTTATCGCTACATGGCTGATTTTTTGTGTAAAGTACCCTGATACATAGTAAAGTAGACAAAGTCATGTCTGCCAGCGCGATCCCGTGGATTAAGGTTGGGAGGGGCGGTGAAATATGTCAAATTTTAATAAAACTTCCGATTTTCCAACTATCTCTGGCTCTCTCTATCTTTGACCCCTGTATTTTATACCTGACGCAAAAAATGGATGAGACTTTTTTGTACAACTCATCAGGCACATCTTTTTTTACATTTAACATTTTTCGCTATGATGCTTACTTTCTGAGAAAAGTGCAAATTTAGAAAAATTATAAAATGAATAGTTTAACTGTTCAATTTAAAATTTCTCAAAAACTAAGAAAATGTTTATGGACTTTTTTGTAGAGTTTCTTGTACCACATTAGCCAGTGTATGCGAACAAAATTACAAACATTTTTTTAAGCCGTTATGGCCCTTTTAAAATTGTAACACTCTCAAAAACCCTGAAGATGGTAACGGATCAAAACCAAAATAGGTCGTTTGCGATTTCCCATGAAATCCTATAAACATTCCAAATTTCATCAAAATCGGTTCAGGCGTTTTTGAGTTACCGTGTTCACTAGAAACGACCGCATGCATACAGTTTAAAAAAACCATAACAAAAAATTTGTTGTAATCATTTATGCACACACTGGCCAATGTGGCATACAAAACTCTACAAAAAAAGTCGATTACAGTTTTTTGTAAGTTTCTTAGTTTTTGAGAAATTCTAAATTGAAAAGATAAACTATTAATTTTATAATTTTTTTTAATTTGCACTTTTCTCGAAAAGTAAGCAAGATAGCGAAAAATGTTAAATACAACAAAGATGTGCCTTGATAAGTTGTACAAAAAAGTTTCATCAATTTTTTGCGTCGGATTCAAAATAAAGGGGCTAGAGGTAGATATAGTCGGAAGATCGACAGTTTTATTAAAATTTGACATATTTGAGCGCCCCTCCCAACATTAAGCCACGGGATCTCACTGGCAGACATGATTTTTTTATTTTATTATGTATCAGGATACTTTACACAAAATATCAGCCACCTAGCGATAAATCACTTTTTTCCGTAGCCAGCCTCCGTCTATAACCTTTGCGCAGCAGTGTTGCCACAGTGTAAAAATCGCATGCTACTAGGACGCGCGTATTCTGCAACGAGTTCTGGAACACTATTTGTGTGGCAGAGATGAATATACGCTGGTAGATGTAAGATTACACTGCAATGAGAATTGCAGTAACACCTCCAATGTAGACGTGAAAGGACTGTTTGTTTACGCATAAAAAAGTCACGTGGTTTCCAATCCTATGTTTTTCTTTTATCATAGTCCATGGCTACTTAGATTAACAACTCCTGAAAACAGAATCTTTATAATTAATTTTTTCGCGTACAAGAAGAGGTAGAATAATCGTTTCACATGATTTACATGCAGAATTTATATATCTCTATAACTTTTATTTGAAGTATTTTTGCGTAAAATAATTAGGAAACGTTTGCGCAAAGAAAAAGTAATTTCCCATGTTAAACGCGTATGTTCCACTTTTCGATTTATACTCTGTACTTCTAATTCTGCAAGTTCAAACTCTCGAAGTCTATTCCCTGGTCTACAAGGGTAGTAGACCTAATACCTATCTACTTAAAATTAAGATTAAATCTGACCTAAAATTTCCACGGCCTTTTCTGTATCAAAATTTTGTTGCTCAACCCTTGTATCTATTTTTAAAACTAAACCTTAACATTTCTCGCCATTTTGACGCTATTCGGCATAATTTGTAGTAAATGCGGTTAATATAAAATAATTAATTAACCTACCACTGAATGTGTCTGAAATAGTAATCTAAATATTCATTGCACTTGGGAACCTTTCGAAAACTAGTAGCATTTTAAAATTGACTTTTGTTTCATCTGCAATCTGCAAATCCAGAAAAACGATATTCTTCCCAAAAATGATATGTTATTATAACTAAAACACAGAGATCAATAATTTCATGTGTCAGAGGTATAGTATACTTTCTTCTGCCCAGAACTGTCTTTCGTAGTCAGTGGGTGGGACCCACTGAGCGCGTCCTTAACGGCAAAAGGACCACCTCAACTAAGCCAGCGGGAACCGTATACACTGTGTCCAAGATAAGGATGTCTATAATGGGGATCTTCGAAACCACAGAATATATGACGATAATCCAATTAGAGAAAAGATGCGCAATTATTATCATGCTTTAAAGAAAACCAGTTGGAAACTGTTGGTTTCAACAGGATGGTACACCCGCGCACAACGCCCTAATCGTGCGAGAATACCTTTCGGATTAGGTTGTGCGCGGGTGCACTGTCCTGTTGAAATCAACAGTTTCCAAATTTTGTTTTTTGTGTGTGCCATATACTTCTTTTATGAATCATATAAAAAATAAAATTGATGTTTTCTCCAAAACAAATTTTGTATTGAAAATCTCTTAACAGTGTCTTGTAGGTAGAGCTCAAAGTGAAAATGAAAAAGTGTTTATTTTATTTTTTGTATCTGTTCAAATAACAAAACAACAAAATTAAAAACCTCATAGGCAAATTTCGGTTTTTCTGGCATATCTTCGGAAGTAATTGGAATTTTCTTTAAAGCATGACAATAACTGTTTAATTGCGCAACTTTTCCGTAATTTGACCATCGTCGTATCTTCTATGGTGTACCCAGAACAGCAATACTAATAAAAACCTCAGTAACCTACCTTTCCAAAAACCAGGTTGCAGTGGAGGTGCCACGAACTTATAAATTAAGATGGACTGCTGATCAAACAGTTGCATAGAGGTAGAAATGGCCCTAGCATGGGCGGGGCCATGATGTACACATTTTAGTTATTTTCTAGGGGAATTTTCCTAGTGCTCAAGTTTTGACACTATTGCAGCCTGGGAAAATGACGTGTCACATTAATTTATTTAGAAAACGTGAGGTTAATGCTTGTTTATTAGTTGATTTGAATTTCGAGCCAAGTGAGTGCGCATCATGGCTGCCCCCATGTAGGAGTCATTTGTCAATTCAACATTAGCAGTCCATCTTCATTTACAAATTCGTGGGAGGTGCCTACTCTATCTTTTAGAGAAGGTTAAAGGGCTGTGATAGTCTCTATCTACCTACTGGGGTGTTCTAGTAAAGCACCCACGAGAACATAAATTTCATATTGGACTGTGATGCAAATGCACACCACACAGCATGGAAACAGAGCCAATTGGCATGTCTCCAAAGAGACCCCACCTTGTTCTCGAGTATATGGTTTCCAGATCAAAAGATTAAAACTTACAGACTGGTGCCTGTACGAAGAGCACATCATCATCAGATCTAAAGTTGATGAGATTTACCTACAACATGTAGACAGAGAGGAGGACCTAGAAATAACCTCTACCGATCTACACACACTCATACCCTGATGGAATGTAGAACTCGAGAAACGCAGAGCCAAAACATTTAGACTATTCATTATAGTCAAAAGGCATAACAATAGGACTGACAGGAGGCATATCAATCAGCTTTGGCCAACTGCAACACTCAACTAAGAAGGTCTAAAAGCAGGACTTGGCGAGAATTCTGCGAGAGCCCCGGCAGCAGCCTGTCTGCAAATGCCCTTTCAAAAGACCACAAAAATGTCATCAGCAACTTAATGACACACGATGATAACCACACTGAGAATGCAACGGAAACATTAGAGCTCTTATTGAGCACTTATTTCCACACTCTTCAATTTGTGGCAAACATGGAAACTATGATAGTGGAGGATAATGATACCAAGGTTATCTGCATATCCCTAACTATCAAATCCTGTTTTCATAAACAATGTCACTGTCACTGTGGCAGTTAATTATCCTACATTTGGTGTAATGTTCCTGCTTTCCAACATAGATCTCTTCCAACCTATTGGTGTTGAGCTGCGACTTTTTGTCGGCTGTCTTTTTTATGGGTTTCGCGGGGTGCTTTTCTAACACCTCCCACAAACATACTCGTACATACACCTACAGTTGGCAGATTGATAACTGACTCTTTACATACTATATAGCTTTATGAGATACTCCAAGTCTGTTATTATTTTTATACTGGAACTAGCACTAACGAAGTCTACTAAAAAAACGCTTTCATACAATTGAACCTATAAGCCAAGCGAACACCAATTTATCATAAAACTACATACTAAAATAATAATTAAAATTGTCGTACTAAGTTGTGTTTTACCATCGTCGGAGCTGGAGCCACGTGGTCTACCCTTAGGTTGGTATTTCATTTGCACTTTCCTATTAATGCCAGAAAAATGTCCATACCTTTAAAGAAATGGTGTTAGAATAAAAGGCGAGATACGGACAAACATTACATTTCTAAGACACTTTTCAATTGCTCTAGTTTACCCTGTTTCTCCTCCGTTTCTGGATCGGCTTCGTGGTGCTGTATCTCCGCCAGCAAAGAACGCGCTGTATCTAAAATTTCTTGTAGTTGTTTGGGGCGTTTCAGCTTTACGTAGCCGTTTTTGTATCCTTCGTATTTTTCAAATATTTCGAAAAACCTAAAAGTGTCACGCTTACATTGTTTGTAGACACGGATGCTAACGTACTTAGGATGTCGAACTTCCACTTTCATTTTTTGTTTAGGTGTTCGATCGCCATGACGTATTACAGCCACCACGCATCGTAACTCCATCATTTTTCCGAAAGTGGTGGGTACGATGGGCGGGTCGTCCAATTGAAATGGTACCGACCAAGGAATGTGCAAAGTTGGTGCCAATTCTCTTAAAATCATATTCCCCAAAATTTTCGCACAATCGTCGTAATACTTGTTGGAGTTCTTAACGAAACTAAATCCGTTCACGTCACACACAAATGATTTGCCGTTGGCCCTAAAAAATGTTGTTACGAATAGTAGAAGCAAGGTTAAGAAATACCTTAACAAATCAAATCCGCAAACAGCCTGTTTGAATGCAAGGCACACTTTCCTTGAAATCATCTTCTCCACATTGCTTAATATTACTGGGTAACGTATTTCCTTTCCCTCTCTGTCACGTTCTACTTTACCATCGAGCGCTGGCGACTTTCTAGCTTCCGCGTGAGCATAATCAGGCCCCACAGTATAAACCTTTACGATTCAAGCGTGATTATCAAAGTGAAGACACTGTAACCTACCTTAACGTCTGTACCATCGGTTGGCATGAAGTCCTCGTAAATAAAGCTACCCGTTTTTCTAACCCTCGATTCGGGGGAATAGACACTACTTCGACTACCTATCTAGAATAAAAGAAATAGCCCACGATATTCACAGCTTATTTGAAGTTTCGCATATTTAGACTAAGTTGATTTTTTTTCAGCATGAATCATGCAACTTTATAAATGAACGAATGAAGAGTTAAAATAGCCATTGCAAATACGGTAGCTAGGCATTAAGTGGCCATTTGGATGTATTGGTATTATATAAGCAGAAACACACACTACCACTGTTCTGTCAGTTCAAATTTCTAAGTAGGTATTTACAGGAAAGGAAAATTAGATACAAATATGAAAAGCAATGTACACTAAAATGGCCGATTAATTTTATTTCCATTTGTACATGAAGATGAAGTTTTAAACTTATGGGTACACGTATTAGAACAACTCAAACCCTTCTTCCAGAAAAAGTGAGTGTCTCCAAAACAAACACCTACAATAATCCCTTCTGAAATTTTTACTTGAATAAGATTTTTAATTGCAAGGGCTCCTACAATCGCTCTACCTTTTCGACTGTTTGTTCGTCTTTTTGAAAACTGTTTTGAAGAGATCAGCGCACCCGTAAAAACAAGGAATTCTAATGCAAATGTAAGAGATTTGTACAATAAACCCACGGAATATAAATGTAGCAGATATATTTGAACGCAAGCGATTGGCATGGTATAAAATTAGGTCAGAATAATTGAAATACGCAAAAGAGAAAGAATTAAAGACATCAAATTAATAGAGGGCAACGCCAAAAATTTTTTATCACAACGTCTTATTAGCTTTGGTAAAACAAAACATAAACTTTTTTGTCTTACAATTATCACTTGTTCACCATGTTGGAATCACAAAAATGGAGCATGGAGCTGTGGAATGATCAATAAATGAAGAGAGTAATAATCAAAAGAAGAAAGTTGAAAAAGAAGGAGAAAAAACGAACAAGAATTTTTTCAATAAGCCAAGCATCATTTCAGCACCAGGCCCTAAAGGTTTATAGTTTATGTTACACTGTACGTATAAGTGTAATTTTACAGTGAAAAACAATTTTTTTAAAGAAGCTTATTTTATGGTATCCAAAGTTAAAACAAGTTTGCTACATAGGTACTTAAAAATTGTAGTCAATGGCGTACGTCTGCGTAATCAAAGGGGGCATATACATTTTTAAATAGCAATCGCTATTTTTTATGACAAATGCTTAAAGTACACACCTTTTTGAATATAGAAACCTAAAAACTTTGTTACCTATATAATATACAGTGTGTAAAGCGATGGGGTATACAAGAGGGAATTTTTTTTTAAATATTGATTTATGAAAAAGATTTATTCTTCATAATATGTTTTGCTTGCTTTGAAAGTACCAATAACGTTTCGATTGTTTGTGGTTTGATAGCAATACTCTTATCTTAATTATAATCTAGAATGATAACTTTCAATAAAAAAAATTAATTTTATTATTTTTCCAGATTTCTATAAATAAATTTTAGATTATCGAAACGTTATTGGTACTTTCAAAGCAAGCAAAAAATATCATGAAGAATCAATTTTTTTCATAAATCAATATTTTAAAAAAAATTCCCTCTTGTATACCTCATCGCTTTACACACTGTATAATAACATTTAAGTAGAAAAACTCAAATTAAGGAAAATAAAATAAATTAATTTTATAACTTCACTATTTTGTGTTGAAAAAAACCATTATACTTTTTTAGTTATGTCAAACGATCCTCGAGATCATGTATAGTTTTGTATTGCTGTCTGTGTCTGTCTGTGTAACTTTAGAAACGTCCGATCCCTTTGAAAATTGGTTCTAAAGGAAATAAGAAATGTTGCTAATATTGTCTTTCAACTACTTAGGCCAAAAAGTTACAGCCCAAAAACTGACCACACCTCCAAAAAAGGTTTCTTTTATAATTGTTACAAAAAACATACGAATGTCTGGTTTTCTGTGTTAGTAAAAATATTCCTTAAACCTCAACCATGTAGACGAATAAAACAATTTGCAACCCAGCTTTTGTATTTGCGCAATTCAATTTTTTTATTTGTTAAGGTACTTAAATGAAATTTTTTATATAGGCACCTCGAATAAAAGTAAAACTAATGCCCATTCAAAAAATTTGTTTTACAAGCTATGCTGATCTGGTGGGATGGGATCAACCCCTTATGGTGTATTGTAAAAATAATGGATGTGTGAAGATCATGAGGATCGTTCAGTATTCAGTTGTATCGGATTTTTGTATAAAAATCTTTACAAAATTTTAAGTAAATCTACATGGTTAAAATTTGCAATGGCTTGCGTCTAATGCCCAAATATGTAGTTTGTTTTTTGTCATTTTTCTTTAGCAGCTTAATAATAATAAGACAGCCGCCCGCCACTGTTCATATTTTTTAAGTTTGTAGATTTGTTGCAAACTTTTAATAATTTTTGATACAATAAATCGAGGAGTGAGACACTCCTTAAATAGGTGTATCCACCTATTAAATATATTTAATGAACACACTTAAATCCAATAAATAAAGATAATTAATGCCCGTTTGCACCGACAAATTTAAGCGGAGCTTAGCTTAAGCGTCCCTTAAAATCCATGGCAACGATTATTGAGACAATGGTTGCCATGGATTTTAAGGGACGCTTAAGCTAAGCTCCGCTTAAATTTGTCGGTGCAAACGGGCATAAATCCCATTAAATACACTTAAATCCCTTTAATTACAAATAAATACTATTAAATACAATTGAATTCCGCTAAATAGAAAAAATATTTTAAACAATGTAATCTTTCGTGAGTTTTGCATCTCTCGCATTTTAAAGAATATTTTTCACAGTGAATGGTAGCGGCGTTTGGTTTATTTTAGGGATTGGGACAAAGGAAAAATTAACAAAATTTTAGACGATTTATTATACGTGACTTTCGTAAAAAAAAGTCATTAGAGAGCATGCACTGATCTAAATCTACAGGTATCTTTAAAATGAATAATGTTTCCAGTCAAGAAACTTTTGCAATAAACATTTTTCTGTATAGATCATATCATCTAAAAAAGGAATCGGGGGAAAGTAGTGTACCTTCCCACATTGTTCATCTCAATATCACTCTGCTATGAATAAAGGTAGATATAAAGCTGGTAATCATGCGCGGTTGAAACCACTCTCTAGACTCCTAATGAATGAGTGAAGTGTTTATATGCACATAGACGTTTATAACTTGAATGTTCCGCTGTACAATGCATTAAAGGAAGTTGTGTAGATCCAGTGCATTGTGCAGTGGAACATTCAGCTTGCGCTTATAAACACCTGGCTCACTCATTGGGAGTCTAGAGAGTGGTTTCAACGGCGCGCATGATAACGATCTTTATACCTCGTAAAGCGATATTGATATGAACAATAAACTTAGTGGGAAGTTACACTACATTCCCCCAATTCCTTTTTTAGATGATACGATCGATAAGAAAATATAGGGTTTTTGGAAATTGACTAGTTTTTTAATTCACCCAGTATGTCTTAAGTGAGTGAAAAATTCAACTAAACAGACTGCAACGAATAGTCTGTCTGAGTATTACTGGAGCAATGAGTACTACACCCCCTGCTGCCATGGAGGCCTTGCCGGGCCTCCTCATTCTTCATTTCGTGGCAAAGAAGGAAGCAGCGAAGCAAGGTAATTAAACATTCCTGAGCAGATATAACATGACTCCCGAATACCGCCACAACAAGCCCTTTAAAGTGGTAATCCGGGACAAGGAAGGCTGTAAGAAGAGTCCAGAATTTGAAAAGTGAGCCTTTCAAGCCGAGGTTATAGCTACAATAACCAGGTGCGCAGATGTCATTGCGGCCAAAGGGCTACTGGGTGCGCGCATCAGTTTGGACAGGCAGGCAGTTCTCCAGATTCTAGCAGCCTGATCCTGACCTGCTCATGGAATGCCACACAAAACAAAGAAATAGCAAGGCGTCATCGTGTTACGTTAGTGTTGGTGCCAAACCATGAAGGGATAGCCAGTATCGAGGTAATCTGGTAGAATTGTAAAGCCCCGTTTGTAAAAACAAAATATATTTTTTTGATAACCTTGTGCAGTAAAACTAGTGGAAATACGAAAGTGTCCTATCAAGTGTGCAATTTCTTTGTGTACGATCAATACATGATGGGGGAAGATGAATCCAGAACATTAAAAAACCCATATTTTTACAAAAGCCTTAAACCGGGTAACGTTTGTAAGCAAAAGCGAGATCCTGTATGATAAAATGTTTTGATTAGGGATAAATGTGGAAGGTGCATAATTTTGTAAGATAAATTGTAAAATCTAAATTGGATGTATTTGTCGGGAATTGTAGAAAGATTCTAAAACAGGTGTTTCTTCTTCTCTTGAATTAAAGTGAACCTTTCTTATTCTTAAAAATACAACAAACACAAAAAATCTCACTGCAAATTTAATTAGTGATCAAGCGAACTTACCTTAAGTGAAGTTCAATCATAATTATATGTGTCCAATCCAAAAATATCTTAAACTTATACACCCTGTAGTACACTCATATTGTGCACTATCTATCTTACTCGTCCTGTGCCCCTCCATACTCATTCTTTAGAAATATAATGGAATGGGCCGAAATGTAGGCAATGGGTAGAGACAAAGAGGGAGGGTGGGGAGTGATATTTTCGGATGGAATACTTCCTATAATTATGATCGAACTTCAGTTAAGGTAAGTTCACTTGATCACTAATTATATCTCAGTATCCAATCTTCAATATCATTTAGATTATACACCCTCCAGTTGTTTAAAGATTAAGCTACAGTAAACCCAAGGCCCAAGTAAACTGGCAACTGCGTTGTATTATAAAGAAACCTTTATTAAACGAATATACTAATTAAACAGTGTAAACTGGTTGGACTACACCACCAAAGGATTAAATGAAAAAATAACCGATGTAATGGCCTTTGCTTAGAAAATCAAAATTTAAATGTTACACGATTTTTGTATGGTCTCCTACTTTACTTTAAAGTGGCACCCGCAGCGGACCGCCCCGCCGGACCCCTCTTACGCTACGCCACTGGTGATTAGGGAAACATACAATCTCGCGTTAGTGGAAGGATCCAAAAAGATGTTCTTAAGGTTTGTTGATCGACTGTTACACGTTAACAAGACCTTTTGTCAGAATAAATCACAATTATTGATACTTGACATTTAATCAGGCGTCTGTGCCCTGTGGCCCTGAGTGACAAGTTTTTTTTTATCGATTTCGCACACATGATAGATGCTATAGTGTTTTAGCGTATGTCTGAAATTGATTGATAAATCAATGACGCAGAGCCACAGAGCCCCGATTTCCGAGTTTTTCTTTCATTTTAAGCATTGGGATTTCGGAAACCATAAGACATAGAGATTCGATTAAATGAGGAAGAGTTGTCGTTTTAAGAGTTGATTTAAGATGTTTTTGTTTTTTGAAAAAAATCCATAGTTTACTAGATATGAGCGAAAAACAAATTTAGTGATTTTTCTTTTAACTGTTGTAGAATCGTAAGTATTAGAAATAGGACAAAATGACACGAATAAAAGTTTTAGACATTTTAATGCTTAATATCATGAACATACTATTTTCCTTCTATATTTTACGATTTTTGAGTTACGATACAAAATTTAATTTTTTAAATGGTAGTCATAGTTGGCTTTGACATTTTTGAAAAGGACAAATTTTTCTCTTTATAGTGATATAAGGCTTGCTAAAGTATGTTAGTAAATAAAAGCACTGCAGAAATTTTCATATTATTGAGAAGTAAATAAAAAGAGTTTGCCATGGAAAACAATATCGAGTGAGATAGGTAACAATGTAACTGTGGCACATTTAAAGCTATTAACATTCCAAGGTATGTTATGGCTAGCATAACAGCCGCGGATGTCAGGTTAAAATCCGAGTGCAGCGAGGATTGTAAGACATCTAAGGCTGTTATGATTGCCATAACATCAGCGGTTTGTTCAATAGTTTATCGGTTGCAGGCGCACAATCCTCTACTTTTAGACAATTTCGTAAATTTGATAACCAAACAATTGCATCGTAATCATCAAAGTTGCCGTACATGTCGGTTGCTAGGTTAAAATTTTTAATTAGAAAATGAGTACTGTACATTTGCCTGAAAACGTACGCGAAAGTGCTAACGAAGCTCTTAAGTCTCTAATTCCAACTAAATCGAAAGTTCGATATGAAAAATGTTATGCAGATTTTAAGGACTGGGGAAAAGACAATCAATTTCTCATGTGCAAGGTACAAACATATCAGAAACTAACGCATATGCTTGACTTGACTGGGGCGAGTGGTACCTGTGCTAGCCACAGCAAATTTTTTTGTTATTATTTATTTCAGTCCGAATTTTGAATATGTATTCATTGCTACGAAAGAGGACAATGTCCGTCGGGTCAGCTAGTAAAGTTATAACTATAGTTTTGTTTAATGGTATGGTAAAATATTACACTACTCATTTGTCATATTAACATACTCACTTGTCATTTTATATATCAATGTGGTTACAATGTTGTTTACAAGCGAACTTTTTGACAATTTAAGGACGATTATACCGCCTGCAACCGATAAACATATTTAAAGGCCAACTTCGAAAATTTGCTATGAAAGTTAAATTAATAATCATATTCAATGCACTATTAAAAGTAAATCGTATCATGCCATGGAAAACAATAAAAAACAAAATACTGCTGTTTATTGTTAAAGGCCTCAAAGAAAATTCATGTTTATTTGTCAAAGTAAGAATGAACCTTATATCACTGGAAACAGAAAAAATACATTTTTTTAAAATGTCACAGGCAACCATGGTTGCCATTTAAAAAAATTTAAGTTTGCGTTATAACTCGAAAATTATAAAAGAAGAATGGAAATTAATAAAAGGATCTTATCTCGGATCTTATTAAGCGAAAAAAGATCTACAATTTTTTGTTCTTTGCATATTTCTGTATTTCTAATACTAACGAATCTACAACATTTAAAAGAAAAATCACTAAATATGTTTTTCGCTCGCAGATATACAGTCTAGTAAACCGTAGATTTTTTTCAAAAAACCAAAGCACATTTGACTAAGCTCTTAAAACGACAACTCTTTCCTCATTTAACCGAATCTCTATGTCTTACTTACTTATGTTTAAAATGAAACAAAAACTCACCCTGTACAAAATTCGTTTTTGGGCACATTTGTCCAAAATTTAAAAACAACCTTATATCGCTGAATAGCTAAAATACCTACTCCATTTAACAACCATGATATAAAATACTGCCTCCATTAAAAAATAGTTGTAGTGGTATCAAAATTATTTCTACCCCACTGATTTCTACGTGAAAATGTATAGAATTTTTTCCTTTACAATTTTTTTTTTCATAATGAAACCCCATCCTAACGCTGTGCTGCTACCCTGTATAGTTAACATGGTACCCTAATATTTTCATTTCAAATAATAAGTGGAATTCACAAGATCGGCAACATGATATGTTACATAGTATAAGTGTTTGTGACCCACCTTATTATCAAAGTTGGCTAAATATAAAGAAGGCATACTATATTAGATAGAAATATAGACCTACAGCGCGTAACACAGCACATTGCAACTGAATTAATTATTTCATTCTAAAAAGTGGGGATATTCTTCGATAAATATCGGATACCGTGGAGGGATCTACTTCCCAAACTCCGCGTATGTTCCCTAATAAGCCACTTTCTTTCTTAAGGTTAGGCTTCTTCTTAATTTTTTATTCAATGACGAGATGTAGTAGTTGGGAGCCGACAGGTTTCACAAGCTTTGTAAAACATATTATGTTATCAAAAATCTCTAAACCTTCCCCATATAGTTTTATTCGTTGAAGTTTTTAAAAATAACAGCGACTATAGTTTCGGCGTACTGCCATCATCAGGCGACTAGAAGTGTATCACAATATAGCAAATTTGAAAACATTAAGAGCTAGTACTTACTGTGAAAGTTAACAGGAAAACGGTAAATTACAAACGTTGAAGACGGATAAGACGAACATGTTGTTTTTTTAATTATTAACTGGCCGAAGCCAAGTGAAAAACCTGAAGGGTGGTTAAAACGGAAAGGTTGTCCTAAGTTTCAAGACGAATTAATTATCAAGCCTTGTTAAGATAACCAACCGGGGGGATGATGGCAGTACGCCGAAACTATAGTCGCTGTTATTTTTAAAAACTTCAACGAATAAAACTATATGGGGAAGGTTTAGAGATTTTTGATAACATAATATATTTCAACCCCCATTTCGAGGAACGATGGATCCAACTCTGTGTGTGAAAAAACAAATGAAGGGAGGCGCTAGCAAGATGTGCACGCAACAAGCACTAAGAGGAGAGAATGAGTATAGAGGGGCAATGGACGAGTAAGATAGGCACGCGTAGGGGGAAATTAAAATCTTATTCTTTAACTATAGTGCACAACAGTACTACATGGGAATACTATAGGGTGTATAATCTAAATGACAATAAAGACACTGATATATAATTCTGGTATGCACTTACTAGGAGTACCGATGTTGATTATAGAACATTAATTTGAGATTATAGCATTTGAAAATCAATTCCTAAAGTGTCCTAAAGTCTATGAATGACAATGAATGAATTTCACCATTCCAAGTAGAGTTAATGATGGTTCATCAAAGTTTTTCAACGCCCACCCATCAGACCATACAGAACTACATAATTTAACTTGTTAAGATATACCGATCAAGATATGTTAATAGTATATCCTTTAACCTGGCCTACTAGAACAGCACATATTTACTTTTACATTTACTAAATAACGCAACAGGTAAAAGTCAAATTATGTAGCCTAATATAAATAGCAATATCGAACCTTAACTACCGATATTAACTTACTTTGATCGGCTTTCCAGATGAGAATAAGAGATTAGTGTGCTTTATATAACCACAACGATCACTCTACAAAACAAAAGGTTCCTATAAAATCTACCCCAATTTGAGTGTCAGTGAGGCCTAAAACTCTTACAATTCATACATATATTTTACTTACATATCTAAATGGTAAATGAGCACAATACGAAATGACACAATTTTGGGCACTCTCACCTTTCGAAACAATCTCTGGCTACCTCCGCCTGCGGATGTAGGGTAATAAATATAAATATTGTGATCTTCGGCAGACACTGGCTTCTCCACAAACGGTTTATTAAAAACTATTCCGTTCACTTCAACATGATCCTCAGACTCAACTAGTTCGTGACCTGAACATTTAATGAGAATTGTTCAACAACAAAAATTCACTCTACCCACCTTTCGGATCCGGGTTATCTCTATCCAAAACTGCATACCTCGGAATTTCAATTCCTTCCGACTCCAAAATTGCATACACCCTCCTGCGATCCTGAATATCGTATTGCATATGCAAATTATTAATAACGTAAGGATTATGAAGTTGAGCATACTGAATCGCTTTATCCAAAGGAAATCCTTTAGAGTGAAAGGATATCAGACAGTCACAGGCGTGCCATTCCTCCACCGGTTTCTGCAAAGGATCGTAAATGAAGTGCGACAAGTGGACGTACGTCAGTTTCTACCTCGAGTATTTCGTTTTCCGGAAAGACAACCACTTTAAGATACTCGAATTCCTGAAGCCTCGTTAGAATCTCCTTCATCGGTTTACTTTGGGACTTCTTCGCCATCGCGCAAACTCCCACCACGACCTGTTTGCAGTTCTCCTGGCCGCCCAAATCCACATTAAAGGGATTCGGATCACATCCTTCCAATTCGCTCTGAAATTTAACATGACTATTATCGCATTGCGCTATGGTAATCTATACGTTAGTGTGCCAATAATCAGCTAACTTGTTAATAAGGGGTTTGTTGCACTCAGCGCATTTGTAAAAGAGTAATTCCATTATTGTAGAAGATGTACCACAGTGGTATAGTGATGATGCAAATGTACCACTGACATTTTAGCAGTGTCAAAGGAATGCACACAGCGACAATTCAAAAGTGAGTAACATAATTTAGAAAAAATGTCTCATTTTCTTCACAATTTTTATGTTAAGACGTGGCTATCTCATTTTATCCTTGCTACAAGGGGATTTCAACGATGATCTTTAAATTGAGAGAATTATTTGTTTCATAATTTGATTTTGATGATATTGTTAAACATCAAAAATCTCCAATACGCACAATTATGAAAACAGAGTGTGTGAAAGTATAGAATCAACTTTCCTATTCGTATGACAATTTTGTTACTACCCAAAAAACACACACACATACGGCATCTGCCCGAAAAAAATCCTATTATTGACCTAGATCATCTTCGGGGATTTCTAAAGCATTTATTACACAACTTTTGATAAACACTTGAAATAAATCTTGACACAAATAAAAAAAAATCTAACATGAAAACCCTATCCGAGTAGCACAATAAATTCGAATTAACACACAATTAATTGATTGACAATGACAAAAATTTATTCTGAAACAAATAAACAAAAAATTAAAACAAAATCCTTGCATGAAAGAAGAGCTTACAAAGCTTGTTTGGAAATATTACCCCGCACGCAGGAGGGCGACAAATAAAACAAGCATAAATTGTGCACAACGCTTGAGCAGATAAAGCGCATTTTTTTTAACCGAAATAGCTTTTGTATTGACATCACCAATGGATATATTTCTTGCAGACGTCTCAATCGCCCTTTGTGAGTACCCTCTTCCGATAATCCGTCCTTGAGGTATAAGGGAATATACCCGATCACGATACGAGAGACCTTTCATTAGAGTACCATGAAGGATAAAACTAGTGCCCTCCCCCCCGTACTTTGATAAGAGGACAGAAAGAAGGGCAGTAGTTGGTACAAATTAATTCCTTTCGTTGAGACCTTTCATTAGAATACAATGAGAGATCAAATTAATTTTTACCCCCCCCCCCCCTTCAGGCCCCGTCGCTCACAGATCTCGAAAGAGTCGCACGCGAAAGTTATAGTTTGTACTTTAAATGAAACGCATTTATTTATATTCATTTTTTTACCAAGATAACAATTCTAATCAAAATCGGAGTTTTTTACCAAGTGCCATGGTCTTGGTTCCTAAACCATTGATGCAAGGACGTTTACACAGCCGCCTGAACTTCAAGCGTGATCTTCCTTTAGGGACCTGAACAGATGGAAGTATGTTAGGGCTAGGTCAGGGTTGTATGGGAATGAGGTAAGACTTTCCATCTCTCTCTTTTCTCGATCTCTGTAGTGATGTCGTCGTCCGATAAAGATTTTGTGGTGGGTCCATGCATTTAAGGAGAAGAATAAACATAGGAATAAGCCAAAAGCGTTTATGGGTTCATCCTGATTTTCAAAAAAAAATTACGAGAGGATATTTTTCTACTTCCTACACCAGAGCAAGATGGGAGTTTGTTCGCAGGTCGACAGGACTTGGTGGTCGCTTTAGTTACCACGAAACTGTTGAGATCCAAGGTGCTAAAAGTTCATTGTGGATATATTTAGAGCGGTTAGAAAATTAAAAACCAGTTTCTCAATCAAAACTGTGCATCTCTCTTGTGTATACAGGGTGTTATTAGATCTACATTAAACGGCAACCGGTAAAAAGGTTAAAGACAATTAATTCGTGCTTTTGTTGGCTGCCAAAACCCTGTTATAATTTTTGGGAAATAGGAAGAAATTTCAAAGGAATGGAGAAATATTAGGAAATTTTGAGAAAATTCCAAGGAAATTCTGAGGAAATTTTAAGAAAATAAAAGTTCCTTTCGTTGAGACCTTTAATTAACCAATTCCTTTCAATGAAAAATACTTTACCCTTTCACAGATTTTCTCTGCCCTTCCTTGGGGTAAAGATTAGCTACGCCCCAGAATTTGAAGGCGTACTCACCTCAATTATTGTAAGATATTTTAAATTTTTTGATTTGTATAAAATAGTAATCGGTTATTTTTAAGAATTTGCATAATAACTTTGTTTTAAGTAATTTGGTTTCATTGATTGGAAAATTGCATTTAATTCCTTTGGTTGGATTAAAATTTTGTTGAGCATTCAGAGGTGTTATATTTTAATCACGAGACTGCCCCTAGAATTTATTTTGTATAAAAAATGACAGTTTAGATAAAGAAAACAGATATTGTTATTGATACACAATATCAACTACAGTCATTATGCGTATTTAAGTAATCAATGAGAGTACATATTAGATTTTGAATTTCAGCTCGAATTTCAGGTTTTAGTAGGAGATAATGGGCAAACTTCCGCAAGGTAAGTAATGGGTATCAACAACAATTTTTATGACTGAGTTTGCCATGGGTAAATTAAAAATTGTGATAAGTACCTATTAACATTTTTTCCAGTGCCGTAGAGATTCAATTTTATGTTATGCAAATGAGGTCTTCGGCCCTTGTAAATGTAGCTAAGCCGTTACAATTGCATTTCAATTTTTCGTCTGGTTTCATATACCGTGTGGTCCCTAGCGCGACGCAGCATAGGGATTTCAATGGTAATTTCTTTATAGTCAATTACTAGCTCCCCAAATTATTTTAGAACAAGAGTCTAAATACCTTTTTTTAGAGCAAATTTCATACAATTTCAATTAGAGCATCTGTTCATACCATTAATTATAATTTTCCGTTTTTCAAAACCGTAGAAATCGACAAAATAAAATGGTTCATTTTACAATAAATCAGATATGCCTTGGAATTACCTAAAAAAAATAACGATCACGTTTCATTATTTGCCTTTGAAGTATATTAAATTTATACTTGTTTACATATACCATGCTTGTTTATAGATTATTTAAAGAACTGCAAGTGCAATAACATTTAAAATGTCCGTCAAAACCGAGGTCAAAACCATCAGGAAAACGACAATACATTCAACGTTTTGGCTGCAGTAGCGGAAAATCCGAAGTTTAGGAACAAATCTTCTTCAAATCAGTTTTCTTCGATTATGTAGGTACTCTGATTCCGGGAAATGATAAACAAATAGTATTCCAAATGCAGCATTACATTCTCTAAAAAAACATTACCCTAAGATGCCTTTTATTGCGTCGGTTAGTTGAAACAGAATTAAATATGAAAATTGTTCGACGTCAAACAACGATAACTTAGATGCGATGCGCTTGTAGTTTGTTAAAAGATTCCAAAGCATCAATGATTTATAAAAATGTAATTTTTTATTTTGTCAATTTCCACGGTTTTGAAAAATGGAAAATTATAACTAATAGCATTGAATAATAATTCAGACTTATTATTCAATGCTTTATTATTCAATGCTAATAACGGGTTTACCAATAAGAGCAATAGGATTTTAAATTGAAATAAAACACAGTCAATTTGGTCAAATTTAGGTTTGATTGGTTTTATTAGATGCTGTATTTCATGCCATTTATGATTTAAACAAAATATCGTTCAAATGGCCACCGCGGCTCTTTTTGCACTGGCTCATCCGATCGGACCAATTTTCGATGACTCGGTGGATCATATCGGGTGGAATGGCAGCTATGGTCGCTCGAATGTTGGCCTCGAGCTCGTCAAGAGTCTTGGGTTTATTCGCATAGACCTTTGACTTCACATAGCCCCACAAAAAGAAGTCCAATGGTGTTAAATCGCATGATCTTGGCGGCCAATTGTGGGGGCCATTTTGAGAAATCAACGATTCACCAAACTGTTGACGCAATAAGTCCATTGTAGCGTTCGCTGTGTGGCATGTTGTTGGATAATTTCCAAGCGTTGAGGCAACGTGAACTTGTTCATGATGAAATGGCAAGCCTTACTGATGACAACTGACAGCATATGTCAAATGTTTGGCATCCAACATAGCCGCCTTAAACGTTTAAAATCCTATCGTCCCTATTGGTAAACCCTTTAGTATGAACAGATTCAGTATTTTTTTCTCTAAAAAAAACGTATTTAGACTTAAAATAATTTGGGGAGCTAGTAATTGACTATAAAGTAATTACCGAGGAAATTACCATTGAAATCCCTATGCTGCGTTGCGCTAGGCACCACCCTGTATACCAAATTTAGTCGGATTTTTTCCGCACGCCCGGTTTAGGGGTAGAAATTTGAAAACACTTTTCCAAAATCAGACAGAGTGTACCTACCCGAGCCTACCCAAAAACCTAAGCAAATCCGTAAAAAAAACACAATTACAAAACAAAATGATTATATACCGTTTATTTGAAAAAAATGTTTATTTTGGTCCCATTTTTTTACATAGGTAGTTAAGTATTGACAGACTTTGTTTAGTTTTTCTATTCTTTCAAAAAATTCTGACTAACCTATGACATCTTAAATATACAGAGTTGATCATTTAAACACTTACAATGGGCCTCGCAACGGGCTATATCCTCGGCTATATCCCATAAAAAATATTGTAAAAAAATGGTCAAAACCATTCCTGGGATAGAATAGGACAACTAAAATGATATGGGAAAGAATGAGGGAAAGAATTATCACATTAATTCAGACTGAAAAATCATCCAATTCCCCCATTTTCGCAGTAAAGTTGTGTTAAACCACCCTCAGTGTGGTATTTATTCAAAACTATAACAGCTTGGCCCGAGGCTTGGCCTGAATCGAAGGCTTGATACCTATCTGCATGTTGTAATAGCTCTTATTATAGTGTATTTTTATCACAGAAAATCCTTAATTATGGTTTTGAAATAGCAAATCAAAATAACCAGAAACTCTCTCCTGTGAGAGACATCGGAAAGGCAATGGCCATAATCAGCACAATACTTGGCGGAACGCCTCCTACCTGACAAAATTTTAGATCCTCAACTGTATTATGGAATCCAGAAAATATAATAGTAACGATAACCACCTATCTACCTACCAATGTAGATTGTAGGTACATAATAAATATACTTTGTTCAACTGTTTTCTGATTGCATACATTTGTCCTCGCATTTGTCTCACACGGTATGCATAAATCACAGATAGTTGATTGACTACAGTGTTAAAGATTAAAATTACAGGTAAATCCACACTTACCTCACCCAGAAAAAATTGAGTTGATCTAGCATCACCACGTAAACCTTGATACCCATATTCTAGCTCGGAATAGGACATACTTGCTGGTCAATCTAACTCATTATATCCAGATCACCAACAATTAATGATAGGTAATAATAAAATGTTTACTGCTTATACGTAATTAAGATCACTTGTTCAAATTTAATTTTTGTAAGGTCCTTGAAGAGTTAGGTCGGCATTCTCAAGTGTTTGTTAATTACATAATCACAAATTAGATAAAACTGTTTAAGCAAACGAATATTCAATAAAAATTCCCTTTTAAATTGTTCGCCTAACCACGACATTATAAAAATTTAAAGCCCGACATACACGCAACAGACTCGGCGGTAACGCTGATGCACAATAAATACGCGGAAACGGAGGAATTTACATCTGACTTGTATGGAACCGGAGACATTTTTATATAAAATTGAAAATGTTTTTTATGCTTTATTTTTTTGAAGTTCCGCACTACGTTGCTAGCAAATCAAATAATCAATATGATTGCGCAGAATATTTTGGCAACAATTCAGGGCCGGATTTGCACATGGTGACGTGCTTTGCATTTTTACTGTAAATTCTCAAATTGTAAATTTTAAATACTGATTCTTTTCTGACCGCTCAAAATGTTTCGCAGATAGTGTAAAATCCCGTAAGAAGGAATTGCTTTTGTACACTGAAATCGTATTAAAACTTACAAGTAGGTAATCTGTTTCCGAGGATTTCATAAGAATTTGTCTCTCCGCCGAGCGCCATCTTTAAAAAATCGTGACATATTTGGAAATTCACAGTTCGACAAAAGTTCTGTATACTTCACAGCTGAATAATATTTAATATACTTATTTAATATATTTAATGTTACATTTGTCATAAAATGAATATAAGTAGAGATCACAAACTGTATTGTACCAACTAACAAAAACAAATAGTTACACAAATTACTACTAAACCCATTGTAAATACATTATATGGTGGAATAATATGCTTTATTGATCAGGTATTTTTAATAATGGATAATCCCGCCAAAAAACGAGAAAAATATTTAGCGAAACTCAGAAGAAGAGGGTCTGCAAAATACTTTCGCATCACTGATGATTCGAATCCTAAGGTTAAATTATAAACCGAACCTGCACAGAATGTGAGGGGCTTGGTTTTTCGAATAGTCATTAGTCGGCGACGTGGACACGTTGGGCTTAGTGTCGGCGATGTGGGCAATGGGCATTCGGCGAAGTGTTCTAGACACCATAAACTGATGATATTTAGCAAACAAAAATCTTCGGATCTCGGAATCACCATATCATATATTTCATAGAAATAATGAGTTACATCTTACATCCACTTTCATTCCATATCGCGGGTAACTGACTTCTTGGCACCTCAAGAATGTTATAGAAATCAGTGGCGTGCAAAAATAATTTTCAAAATCTCTACAGTTTTTGATAAATAGCAGAAAATTTTAATTTTTTTTTCGTGAGCAATATCTCATGGTTGTTAAAAAGAACATGTTTCGCTCTTCTTAGAGATGTAGGATAATGTAGGGGTTGATATGATTTGTTTTTAAACTTTTAGATAAATTTGATGCCCAAAAACGGATTTTACAGTGAGACAAGGGAATATGAAAAATCGTTTTAAGCTTTAACTATGCAGAGGGCCGGTTTTAACCTTTGAATTACTATTTCTCGAAAACTTTAATATAGCATTTGTTTACCTAATAGAGGTAAATGTACAAAACTTTGACCTTCTAGTCTTCTTCCAAAGAGTAACCTACTCTTTGTTTCTACATCGAAGACCAGCACTCCGATGTACTGGGTTTGTAAGTAAAACCGATCTGTCTCATTCGCCCGTTATAGATTTATAGACGTATTCGCTCAGCACATTTTTGATTAAAATTTAAGTTTAATTTAAGTGAGGTTCTAAAACGTTCATAGTCAGCATTCTTCACATACTTATTAATTAATTAATAATTAAAAGATTTAAACCTTTGGCTTTATCAAACTTCTAGGCTGAACTTCTGAATCAGAAATCCGAAACAATTTACATTTTGTTTCTCTCACGTCCTATCTATCTGCTGTCTGTCTCGTTTTGTTGAAATCTAATAAATATCGAATCAACTTCAACATTCAACTACCTACTGAAAGAGTGAGTCGCTATTTTCAATGAGAGATCAAGGGATGTTTGTTTCAAAGCAAGTACATGCCAGTTGTTTCTCAGCCTTATAAGCTTAGTTTGCATTTGATAGTAAACATTTTATTTAATTCAGTTCATTGCGCCCCGGTACCAAGTTTGAGAAACGCTGTTTTTCATGATAAGAACAAGATTGTCGCCATCTATCGGAAAATTTTGCCAACTACTTAAATACGTAATATCTCCGAACATAACCTATAATTAAATGATTTGAGATGCAGTTATGTTGTAAGTTTAATTTCTGCTTATTCATAATTCTTTATTATATTAAAGAAGCGCAATTTTTGTGACTTATACCCTAAAGTTTGGTTTTTGCAGGCAAATAATCATCAACGAACTATGACGTGTACATTTAGCACAATTTTAAATTACTAGAATGACAAACAAAAACGATGGTTACATTGATAGAAGCCTTTTAATATAGTAAGTAAGTGTTGACTCTAACTTTAAAAGGGGGTGAGACAGTACCAAACCTAATTAAGTTTCATTACTCCGTTCATATTTTATGCATTGTTTTTAGATACTAGTTCACATTCCATTTGAAACAGTTTAGCTACCCGCTACAGCACTCTGTAAATATGCAAGATCCCGATTATACACAGTACAACAAATTATATTCCAATATCGAAGAGAGAAGCAATATTTACGCATTTGATAGCAGCATCGGCTTGAATGTTAACCTAAACGGCAATAGCTCAGATTCCAGCGATTCGCAAGATGAGCGTCACTACGACTCTCGAAGGACGTACGGTTTAGTTGGCCTGCAGAACATCGGAAATACTTGTTACATGAATGCGGCACTTCAGGCTCTTAGCAATACATTACCATTAACCAGTTTCTTTCTGGATTGCTCGGCCACTGTGATGATACTTTCGGAGGGACGTAAACCTGGTCTTAGTCGGACATATCAATCGCTTATAAAGGATATATGGATAAAGAAAGGGTACGGCTATGTTACTCCTTCCGGTGCGACTCATTTTTTTTTACTCGAAGTTGTAATTAATGTGCAACTTGTAGGTATTTTGTATGGTATTCGAAATGTGCACGCAATGTTCCGTGGCTATCATCAACATGATACCCAGGAGTTTTTAAGAAATTTTATGGACCAATTACACGAGGAGCTAAAGCAAATATGCCCTACAGAGTTGATGATCGATTTGAGTAATTATAGTTTAACTGTTGATGAGTCGGCGATGAATTCTAGTATTGAATCGAGCGAGGGAGAGTATGAAACATGTGATTCGGGTGTGAGCGAACGTTCGAGTCTGAGTGATGAGATGGAACGAACCGAAAGCGTTAACAAGAGCAGGTTGTCTAGGTCTACTAGTCCATGTTATAAAATTCGTCCACACTTTCAAACTACTGCTGTGGGTAAGTCGTGGTGGTGCAAGGTATTGTGCCCCAAAAGATGATCCCATTGTGAAGAAAATTTGTAAACGATTTTTATTTTAAAATTTGTACAGTGCTAAGTAATAGCACAAAAACTGACAATTCGCATGCAGATGGTGCTGATCACTTGCACTAGTGACAATGACTTCTACAAACAGTGACAGACAAGCAGCGGTTGGCCCCGCCCATCCGCCATTAAGAGGCAATTGTCTGGCAAGTTTGTATTGTTAGAACACGAAATTCAAATGTTGTGCTAAAACTCGATTAAACAAGTTAAGCCAAATACGAAACAAAGTAAACGAATAAAATTTACTCTTTATTGGCGGCCATATACCACATGATTAGTCAGTCCAATCCAATAAAAATCGATGCATCAATTGTGGTCCCTGTTTGTAGTATAGGCACTGTAGTACTAGTTAGAATGACTATAGAGGCAGTGTGGTCATACCGTGGTCTTATTTTCTATTGATAGTTGGGAAATCCACCATGTTTTTGCCAAATACACCAGATTGGTAGAAATTAACCTGAAAACCAAGATGATGAATTTATGTTGTGTGACACAAATGTGGCATAGCAAAATCTACTAATTTTATTAAACCAATTGGCTTAATTATAAATTGGAAAAAACATGGACACATTTAAGAAAGAACCGAGCTGAAAAAATCTCCTAATGATTTATTTTTTTTATTACCTAAAAGATGCATACCCAACATCAGATCAATTGGTTTCTTGTCATATTTCATCAATCGCGATTATTTATTATTTTTTTCACTACTAGCGTCTGATGACATGATTATTAACCTTTTTTCCACTTGTAAAGTAGGCTTTCTCGGCATTTGTTCAAAGTGGTTAATAATTTTTTATTATTAACTAGTAGTCAATAATGAGAACTGTCACGCTGTCACTTTTAGAAAACACAACCCGAAATTTCGCTCAATGAACGTTTAGACAAGTTCTCTAAAACGAATCACCACCATTCGCAATTTCCAGAGAAATTACATACCTAAAATTATCACATTTTGAAAAAATTCGAACGAAATTACTCTTTGAAAAATCTCAATGACAGAACAAAATACGGCCTGTTTGACTTGTACTTCCACGTACTTGATTGACATGTTAAATTAAGAAACAAACAATTCTGTCCAACCGTTAACTCTCTTATCAATATAATATGTTAATTTAGAGGATTTCAAGTGCTAGTAGTGAAAAAAATAGTATATATACCACGGTAGAGAAGTCTATTATTGCCTTCGCACCTTACACCCCTCGGCGCAAGCGCCTCGAGATGTAATCTTGGTGCTCAGGCAATAATAGTGGACTTCTCTACCTTGATATATAATGTACTATTAAAGTTGGTAAGAATGAAGAATTTGCCCAATATTCTTAGACCACACATAGTACATGGACTGCTATTAGCCCTATGCTTTCAATACAAAATGGGTGGTCACGGATAGAGGGCACTGTAGTCGTGGGTATGTGAATCTCAGGGTAAACTAATGCCACATGAACACCACTCGGATCGCGTAGTAGCTTTGATGGTAACGGCGTAGTACTCGGGAAGCTTTAAATACTCTTGATTATCTTCTATATGATTAATTAATTGACGTTTGTTAATTTATAGGTTGACAGTCTCAAATCGTGTCTAATCGCACAACTTCGGACAGACTCGTTTACCCTGAAACTCACATACCCAGGCGATGTCCTTGACCATATTTTAGTTACAATTAGCAGTCCATGTACTATATGGTCTAAGCCAATATTTCAGAAGTAACAACTTAAACTTAAAAAAAAGGTCACATAAATGATTCAATAAAACGAAAATTGATAACAAAATAAGCGATAAATTGCCCTACATTTAACAATACTAGGGGAAATAATCTTTTACAACGAAATAAAACAAGACAAAGCAATTAGATACAAATAGAAAAAACTCGCTTTGTGTTTACAGGTAAAAAACCCAACCAGATTAAGTAAATAAATTGAAACGAAAATGCTCTATACTGCATTCATTATAAGAAGGTAGTAGATGGCGCTGTGTTTGAAGATAAACACACACATAAGAGTATAAAACGGCACCAAATTATTGTAAAGTAGAAATATCCAGCACTGCGAACAGAAATAAATCTGACATTAACAGCTAATGACACTTTGGCAGTTTAGTTGGCAACATAAACTACCAGCTTACAAAATTCGCCAGTCGTTTTTTGTGTCAGCGTATACTGACTCGTGTTTTAAGAGGGGCATTTAAGACAAGTTGCCAGATTTTGCCTAAAAATCGATATTTTTCATGGAATTTCAGTCAGCAGATTCGATTGTCGTAAGTAATTCCACAAGTGCATCAAAATTACCGATAATTTTTTTGAAAGCATGTTGTCTAAAAACTGCATGAGTTTATTTTCATATCAAAATATCAAATGACCGAATGCAGTTTTTTACTGAAAACATGCTTGAATAAAAAATTATCAGGTTTATTTTGATGCACGAGTGTAATTTAGGGGAATATTTCTCGAACAAGCATTACTTGTCAAACTGACGTTACCTACTTATAAATTGTCGGTGTAATTGAGCGATAATTGCACACCTCATATGGCATTTATTACATATGAGGGAAATATTCATTATAATGATATATACCGCTTCCCCATATAGGGCGCCTAAACTTTAGCGCGTTCAAAGTCACTAGATATAAAAAGTACCGCAATCTTAGACTCTCTAAAGGCCGCTTGACATGGAGCAATACTACGCGCAAGAACTGGCAGAAAGAAATTGCAAGGTCAAATCCTTGCATGCAATAAGCATTGCATGGTATTTGACATGGTGCAATTCTATTTCAATTGCCACATGTCTGCCAACAGAAGAAACATATGGATTTGTCAACAAAGTTGTTAACCTCAAATGAAAATTAAATTTTGATTGCTTGAAGAAACATGAAAATTACAAGAATAAATAAGATTAGTAAAAACAAGTAATGAGTGCGTCTCTCAGCATCACAGTTGCCGCCGCTGTATTTTACTAGGTTGGTGCCACAAAAACAACTAGATTTATCCCTAGAATTGCACGATTCATGCAAGAAAAATAGCACCGGTCCTATAAAAATTGCATGCAAGTCTCTTGCAGCAATTGATCAGCTGGCTTTGAACTGCGCATGCCTTTCGCAATTTTTCTTGCAACTTGCATGCAATTGCAATTTTTATTGCTCCATGTCAAGCGGGCTTAAGATCGCAATCATCGCTATTTTTGGCAAAAAAGCAAGTGGTATTTATTATTGGTGTGAGTAATCACACTGGACACATTTAACATTCTTGGTGATAACAAGCGCCATCTTGGGGGAATACCTGAACTTCAGTAGGTTTGCCAACATGGTTATTATTCGTTGTCAATGTCAGATGGTTTTAACCACATTACTCATTTATTATCAGTTTTTGCGAGATGATATTTGGGCAATTAATCTCGCATGTAGTTGGTAAGGTATTAAGTATCTTAAAAATGACCTACTACTTCAAAGTAAGTGTTAAGTGTTTCCAGTTTGAACCTTGTTTTTATGGTTAATAATGAAAATTGAAATCCCAAAAAAGCTTATTACCGACTCCTTGACTAGTAGAATCAGAATTTATCCTCATATTTGCATGATTTTCAGTAATATGAGAGTAATGTGTCTAATAAATATACCTAACTTTTAAAGTCACTAGATATAGAAAGTACCGCAATTATCCGCCATTTTTGGGCAAATTTGCTGCCAACTTAAAAAAATTGACAAATAAAATCTGAATAGCTGTAATTTTTTATAACCTAACTTCATAGTACTGTCATGTTTTATAAAAATATATACAGGACTCTAATACTGGAATCTAAAGTCACTAAATATAGAAAGAGAGAGAACGCATGATTTTTGCCCAAAAATGGCGGAAGTTACCAGATTCTAGTAACTTTAATGTTAGGGATTGTTCCACCTGTTTGGAGATATCTGTATATATTTTTATAAAACATGACAGTACTATGAAGTTAGGTTATAAAAAATGACAGCTATTCAGATTTTATTTGTCAATTTTTTTAAGTTGGCAGCAAATTTGCCCAAAAATGGCGGATGATTGCGGTACTTTCTATATCTAGTGACTTTACTAACTTTGGAATTATGGCGCCATCTTGCGGGGTATGTGTTTTAAAGGGAGCTCTTAACCAATTACAGTGAAGGTCACAGCTTCCCTATGTTTTCTAACCCTACCTTCTTAAAATGAATACAGTATAGTAATATTTTTATCTATTTGTAGATACTCAACCTACAACCAGTGCATCCACAACTTCAACGAAACCCCAATACAAATACCGATCAATAATATCGGACATATTTGATGGAAAATTACTTTCATCGGTACAATGTCTAACATGCAGTAGGGTATCTAGTCGCGTCGAAACGTTTCAAGATTTGTCTTTACCTATTCCATCTCGGGATCATCTGTTAGTTTTGCACGGACACAACGTCGACAGTGGCTTAGCGACTTGCTCAGAAGTGGTGCTACCCGAACAAGACGGATGGATCGCGTGGATAATATCTTGGCTACGTTCGTGGTTTTACGGGCCGATTGTATCTCTGCACGATTGTCTGGCCGCATTTTTTAGTACGGATGAACTCAAAGGCGATAATATGTACAGTTGTGAAAGGTGCAATAAGTTAAGAAATGGAATCAAATTTAGCAAGGTATTTTTCGAATTTTTTTTTTTTAAGTTTTATGACAATTGACTTGCAGGTGCTGCAGTTACCCGAAATTTTATGCATTCATCTGAAAAGGTTTCGGCACGAACTTATGTTTAGTAGTAAAATTTCATCGTTCGTTAGCTTTCCTTTAAAAGGATTAGATGTAAGGCCTTACCTGCATGCCGATTGCGTATCCAATGTGACAACGTACGATCTATTTTCTGTTATATGCCATCACGGCACGGCCGGTGGAGGTCATTACACGTGTTACTCTTTAAACAATAATCAATGGTACGAATTTGATGATCAGTGTGTTACCAAAGTGTCTGCTGAAACTGTGCAAGCATGTGAGGCGTATGTTTTATTCTATCGTAAAAATACCGCATCGATGCAAGTAATTAAATCAAAAGCCTGTGAAATAGCTGAAATGTATAGTAATTCTTCGGATGGAGTTAGTTATGTATCCAAACAATGGTTTAGCAGGTTTAAGACATGCGCCGAACCTGGACCGCTCGATAATTCAGATTTCTTATGCCAACATAACCTTATTAACCCAGAACGAAGCGATTTACTACCACAGCTTGCTGTGCAACTACCGAAACAAGTGTATGACTATCTGTACAAAAAATTCGGAGGATGCCCGGCAATTGTCGACATTCACGTCTGTCCAACATGTGAAGCTTTACAAAGGCGTATCACAGTCGAAGTTGAAACATTCTTGAATTTGAGCCGAGACTTGCATATATTTCCCGCTACTCATCTCATTTCTAGCGCGTGGTTTAGTCAGTGGCAAAATTTCATCCAAAAACGAACTCTGGATCCTCCAGGACCCATCGATAACTTTCAAAAACTGCCCGGAATTGCAAACGACTATCTAGAAATAAGTGAAGATATTTGGCTATTTTTCTATGAAATTTATGGTGGAGGGCCAGAAATGTCGACTACTATGCAAAATTTAAGTGACCTCGAGCATAATACAACCTTAACTAACAATAAGACATCTTTGGCAGATGAAGACACCCCCACTCCTTGTACCAGGCATTCAAATCATAGTGGAAGGAGCAAACCATATAATGTTCAGAATAATGGTATCTGTGATACTACCGGATCAACCGAATCTGAATTACCATCTGAAACCCCAACGGAATCCTCATACAATAATGTAGGGGAGTCTTATCGCAATTGCAACAAATTAGACGATAATATATCGAGTACGTCAAATACAGACGAAGAAAGTGCTCAAGGGGATGTCAAATATTCAGAACAGAATAAACCAATGTCGATAACAGGTAGAGAGAAGCTATATTATAAAACAAAAAGAAGAAGATTCAGATACAAACTTGGTTATAAAAACAAAAATTTAAATATTTCCAGACCTTTAAAAAAATAATTAATTGTTAACTTATTCCTGGCCAGTATTTGGCCCTTAATTTATTTTTACTTTGTTCGTAGGAGAAATAGCGATTTTGGGCTGGTAGGTTAACATTAAAACAGTATCAGTATTTCTTTTTGACATGTTTAATTATTGTATTTGTTATTGTTTACAGCTGTTTCAAGATCTTTTATTCTATTTTAATTGGGAAAATAGTTAAAATTTGATTTTAACTATTTTGTCGTTCAGTGTACCTTTTATATTAAGCAAATATACTATTATTAAAAAACATTCTTTCAATGCAGTATAAATTTATATCCTAACCGGATACAGAAACGGTACAAGTTGGTATAGTCACTTTCTGATTGCCACAATTTTTATACAGAAGAACAAAATGGGTTCCTAATTTCAATATCCAAATCAAATTTTTTAACAACACAGACGTTTTCTCCCATGTGAAAGCTAATAATGACACAAGAAACGTTGGAAGGTGCTGCTGCGCGACGGAAAATCATCTATACAATGTCCTTGCGTGCAAGTAGCGAGCGAACGCCGCCAGTTTAGCAGTGCATGGGCTCAAGTTACACAATACACACTCAATCAGAACCGCGGCGGGTAAGCAGCGTGCACCGGGCTCGTTTTTGGAGGACGCCAGTTTTTTGGCTACGCCGCCGTACACGCAACTCCCACAACTATCCGTGGGTCTTGGCAGTCTGTGGCTGTGGTAGGCAATCAACGAACGAGTGCACACTGGTCGCACGATGGAAGTCGTTTTCGACACAGAATTATTACCTGATGCTATTAAAAACCAAGCATCAATATGGTACAGGATCAGGAGTCAGGATGATAAAGACAAATTTTTTTTCCTATCTGCGAAGATGTTGAAATAGGGAAATGAACGAGCACTAATCAAGCGGAAAACCCATGCGGTTCTTTGTTGTTGTATAAATATTCATACACTGAGTTAGCAAACGTAACGCGTTGATAGTCATCCATTTTGCTTGGAAAAGACAGGTAATTGTTCGCGGCTTGAAAACACGCAAGTGTGCATTTAGCCTAATACATCTTCTACTGCATGTGCATGCAGATATTACAAAAAGTGTAGAAGTAGAGGATATATTGAAAGAATTTGAGAATGTTTGGATATATTTAATTTTTTATACTTGCTTTTCTTTACAAAATAGTGCAATGAATAGGAACGAAATTTTTGTAACTTTGTGTGTTCTAGTTCTTCATTATTTTTTAAATAAAATATTAATGATCAGCTATGGCTATGGTTTTCTCAATCGAGTCAAGTACCTATCTCTTAGTTGCTCAGTTGCATATCACTACACATGACATCCTCCATTATTTGATTGATTAAATAAATAGGTTTCAGGGTCACTTAAAAATCAACTACATTGCATTAATTCGTACACAATTTTGCATGAGAGGGACCTTTTCAGGCTTTGGTCGCTGGTTTTTGCGCCCCCCCCCCCACCCGTTATTCACTCCGAGGTAGGAAAGTGGCCGCCGCCGTCTTCCGTTTAAAACAGACGGTCCTTCTTAAAGCTGCATTCACAACCTCCAATTAATGTTTATAATTAATGAGTGAAATTATTTCGTTAACTTTACGCAAAGCAATCCTTCGCAATGCCTGAAATTAATACGTGAAATTAATGTTTAAGCAGTGTCGCCACCTATGTACCGGCGAGGCAATTGGTTAATTGTTTATACAACAACTTTCAACATAACCTTGTAGCGCAAGCACAAGAATCAGTGTTTGTGTTAATAAGTGTCTTTTAACTATAACTAGCCTTATCCTAAAGTGGCAAGATACTTTTTTCTGTTCGCCACATTCATTGTATATGTAAACAAAATCAAAACAAAGATGAAACAAAACATGGTTATGTCGGGTTCATTTTCGTAAAATTAAGCGACAAAGTTTGCAGTTTGCAAACTTCTGCGTTAAGTATTAATTTCGACGATTAATTTTCTATATTGTGAATGTTACCCTTAAAATATATAGCTTTAAACATTTACGTTAATTTTCGATTGTTAATTGTAGCATTGAATTTATAACTATCCTAGTTATAAATTCAATGATTGTAGCTATTAATTTTGAGGTTGTGAATGCTACTGTCTTTGATTTCAATGCGCGTATATTCTGATAATGGAATGCAACCTTTCAGTGAATTGCGCGCCATCTCTGATAAAACCACCAGTACCACCAACCCATAACCTACAAATATATATTGTTAAGTTTTTAAATAACGCAAACGTTTCAAAGAAAAATGAACGAATGAACCTTAATTTTTTTCCAATGAACGTCTTCGTAGTGTACACAATTTAAGTGATGGATGTAGACCTTTTACGACCCGGTACTGTACCAATATCGCCTGATACCGTTCTTTGGTTTGAATTTTTACTTCGAGAGGAACTTCTGCTGGACCACTTACAAAAGGAGAAACCTGGTAAAATAAAAATGAATAAACGTAGTCTTACGTTTATTTTGATCCCGTTTCTATTTTAGATCCGTCTCCGGTTGAGCTTATTAATAAATTTACGTCTGTGGTATATGAAACTACCGATCTTAAAAAAGTTGAGGTAGATGGAGACAAAAGCAGCGTGTTGGAAACTAAGTACACATTGAAGCATCTGGCGCTTAAGATATTATCTTTGAAAGTAGTGGCCTATTTAAAATGGAATCTTGGTAAGGATTTCTGATGAAAGTTTGGATGGATTTACTGTACATTTTGTGCTCGACTTTGTCTTATCAAATTGTATCTCGGTTGACTTTTATCGATACGAGTGTTACTTCTATATATCAACATCTTATATATGCACAAACTTGTGATGGTTACACCTCTGGTTACACCAATGTGTAAGATAATCCTAAAAATTACTATTTTTGAATTGGCCATGTATACCTGGATTTTTAAGAGAAACAGATCGTTGTGAAAGGCAATTTCGGTTTAGAAAAAACAAAAGTTCCATGGCATAGATACATTTCTTTAATAAATGTTATTGTTAATATTTTTTTCCAGATATTATCAAAGAGCTACCATATAAATTTCAACTGAACATCCTACAAGACCTATTATACTTCACCAATAACCAAATTCCAGTTGATATTTTTAACGTACCCGATGTTGAAGATACAGAAATCTTATCCCAACCTTTCGGTTTTGCATTAGTCTTGTTTCATCGATGGGTAATTAGAAGCACTGTAAATTGTATATTTATGGGTCCGGTCAAGTTCATAGGGTAAGAAGACATTCTGAGATTGAAATCTTTTGAACCACTTGATTGTAGGAACATCGAATTTACGTCACCTGACGATTCAATTATACATTCCCCTCAGAACGTTCAAAAGAGTGTGTGCTTCCTCACCGATATTTTGGCAAAAGGCTGTGTGCCTCATCTTATAACCTACGATTGCTTTGCAACGCTGAAAGAGGACAGTTTACTGGTAGAAAACAATTGGGACCGATCTACGCCGATTTCGAAAGACGAATTTTATGCACAGATCAGTTACGATTTGGCAGAGTTCTACTTTTTTAAAGAAAATTATGAGACTGCCACATCGTATTTTAACAACTGCATGCAGTATTACAACAGTATTTCTCACAAGACTGGATTTCTGAATGTTAACTCTAAAAAACTGGAGGGATACTGTTTAGCTTGCAGTTGTAGTGCCACCGACACATCTTTGAGTTTATTGCAACAGCTACACATGAGTACTGTTAACCAATACATGGTTTGTATACTTTTTTTGTTTCTTGTTTTCAGTAGAGGGTAATCTTCTACTGCTGGATGTCAATCTTTAAAGCTTCACCCGTTAGAAGTTTCGATTGGGGGATTGTATTATCTGTTTGTGCTGCTCCCCTTGCTACTGGCATAAGGGGTGGGGCCAGGAAGAAAGCAGGACCTATCAATTCTTTGTTGGAAAAAGATTTGAAACATTTGTCTCCTTTATGCAAATGTCCTGTGCTGTAAACAATGGGTGGAGCTTAAAAAAATTCTCGACCCAATCATTTTAACCCAATTACATCATTTGTAAACAACATGCATATCTGACAATTTGTTTATTTACTTTTCGTACTTCCGAGACTAAAGTGACAACTTCACTCCGTTATGACAAGTACTGAAGTGTCACTTTTTGTCCCGCCGGGATTAAATTTGGACGAAAATCCCGGAAGGATGAAATTACTAACAAGGCAATTTCAGTAGGTTGTTCCACATTTTGTATGCGGCACTACTTCTTAAACGTATGGTACTGCTGCTCATATACTTCTTTGGATTTAGGTGGTATCAATTCTTTACCTAGTTTGGCTGCTTTTTATCAAAATGAAATACACCTTTGTCTGAGTTTGTGTTTTGTATTAAATTTAATTATACAAAATACGTTTTTATTTGATTTAATATGAAAAATATTTATGACATATCATTCGATATATTTGTTATCTGATTACTTGATAATAATGAAATTTTAATACATTACAGATTCTCCCACACTTATTAAAAAATTGAAATTGAATATTTTTGAATTACTTCTTCTGTATATATTCTAACAAGTATCTAGGTGGTTGTCGATACCTCTCAGATCTCCGTAGTATAGGTTCTTCTGGTGCTGGTCTCCTTATATCTTCTAATACAGGTCGCTCTATTTGCTGTCGGGGTTGTATAATCATCATTTCGTCCATTCCCTCAGTCTACTGTTTGTCTGTAATACTCTCCTGTCGATCGTCTTGGAATGTCATTGTTTTCTTTGGAGGGACGCTTGTTCTGGCAAGCTGGTCTATATGCCTCTTTAAGCTGTAACCATTATCTAATTTAATTTGATAATGTAGTCGTCCAAATTTTTGTTCAATAGTTCCGAATTTCCATGTGGGTTTGTTGTCTGCATACCATCGTGCTTGTACCCTCTCTCCCACACTATAATTTCGAATATTATGATGAAATATTTTGTTACCAACACTTTCTTTTGGTGGTCGCATCGCATCAAGTTTTATACGGATATCTCTTCCTAAGTATAATTGCGCTGGTGTTTTTCCACATTGTAGAGGGGTTGCTCGATATCTAAAAAGTATTTCTCTAATTTTCACGTGCATAGATAATTTCTCTTCTGCCATAGCTGTAAGTTTACGTTTGAGGGTTTGTATGTTTCTTTCAGCCAGGCCATTTGTTGATGGATGTCCAGGTGCAGTAAATTTCTGGATGATACCGTTTCTTGTACAAAATTCATGAAACATTGTACTTTGAAATATTGAAGCATTGTCGGATACCAATACTTTTGGTAACCCATGCGTACAAAAAATTTCTTGCAATAAATGTATGGTATTTTCGGATGTAGGTGCTTGTTTTATTGGTTTAATTTCGGCCCATTTTGATTTTGCATCTACTACAACGAAGAAATGGAAACCCTGGAAAGGTCCTGCATAATCCATATGGATCCTATCGAAATTTTCTTGAGGTTCTTCCCAGTGATGCAGTGGTGCCTTTTCTGGATTCTTCCTTATGAGAGCACAACTTTTACATAATTTTACCAATTGTTCGATGTCTATCGGTCTATCGATGTTTTTCCAATAGCAGTATTTTCTTGCAAGTTGTTTCATTTTTACTATACCTATATGGGTATGATGTAGTTCCCTTAGTACTTCTGAACGAAGATTTTCTGGTATTACGATTCGATTACCTTTTGAATATTATTCCAGTTCCCACACTGTAATCAGTATTTTCCACATTTCCTTGAATTATGTCATTTTTCATTTTGGAAAGTTCTTTATCCTGCTCGGTTCCTTCTGCTATTGACGTATGTGTGATTGAATGGGTGGATATTTGATTTATGGTTTGATCGCATATAACTTGTAGTTCTTCATCTAGCAGTGTTTCAATACCTGGAACTTTTTGATGATGTGTTGATCTTGACAAGAAATCTACGTTTTGATGCTCTTCTGCTTTCCTGTGTTGAACCTTGTAGTTAAAATTCTGCAAGAATGTTGCATAACGCAATAATCGGCTTGATGTCATGGCTGGTAATTTCGAATCTTGATGAAAAATACGTGTTAATGGCTTATTGTCAGTGATTAGTGTAAATTGTTGGCCATAGACATAATTATAGAATTTGTTCACTGTAAAAACTATTGCGAGCGCTTCTCTGTCGAGTTGGCTATAATTTTGCTCTGCTTGGGTGAGCGATCTTGATACAAAAGCCACAGGTCTTTCTCCTCCTTCGATAATATTTGATAGAACTCCTGCGATACCTGTCGGACTGGCATCACATGCAATTGTTATATGTAAATTTGGATTGAATGGTACCAATACTCTATCGCTTGATATTTCTTGCTTCAATTTGATAAAAGCCGCTTCGCATATTGATGACCATGAAAATTTATAATTTTTTTGAAGTAGCTTCCTGAGTGGATATGTTAGTGTTGATGCATTTGGTATAAATCTTGAGTAATATGTTACCATTCCTAAGAACTTACGTACATCATCTGCATTTTTCGGGCGATGAACTTTTTCGATGGCTTCCACTTTGTTTTGACATTTGGAAATTTGATTATATCGAACGGTATATCCTAAGTACTGGATTTCTGTTTTGAAAAAATCACATTTATCTTTGTTAAGATGTAGATCATTTGCTTTCAGCCTATCTAAACATCTTATCAATCGTTTACCACACTCCTCTCTAGATGTTGCATGTATAATAATATCGTCAAAGTAAGACATGGTTCCATCTAGATCTTGCAAAATTTCTTCCAATATTCTATTAAATTCGTTCGGAGCGGTTTTGATCCCAAAGGATAACCTGTTCATTCGGTACGTTCCTCTATGTGTTGATATTGTTTGAATTGTTTGGCTATCTTCATCAACTTGTACATGCAAGTACGCTTTGTATAAGTCCAGTCTGCAAAAAACTTTTGAATTACGAAGATTGTTCAGAATCTCGTCAATATTCCTAATTGGATAGTGCGCTGCTTGCAATTGTTGGTTGACAGATATTTTGTAATCCACACAAAGCCTTACGTTTCCATCTGGTTTGGGTATGACTACTAATGGCGATCCCCAGTCGCTTAGATTAACCTTGGTAATAATTCCAGTCTTCTCGAGCATGTCTAGTTCTCGTTCGACTTTTTCTCGAAGTGCATATGGTATGATTCGATGTTTGATAAAAGTTGGTTTAGCGTTTTCGCGTAGCTTTAAGGAACATTTTACGTTTGGAATACATCCCACTTTTGGTTCAAATATATCCTTATATTCAGAAAATATATTTGGAATAGGGTCAATTGCAAAACAATCCGACTTTGATAAATTTGTGTTATTTTTATCGATTTCCGCTAAATTAATTTGTAAATGGCGTATCCAGATTCTTCCCAAAATTGGGTGATATTTCGATGGTACTATGTACATTTCTTCTTGTGATTTTCTTCCTTGATATTCAACCTCAACAGATACAAAACCTATTGGGGTAAAAACTTCTCCCGTATATGATCGAAATAGTGTTGATGGCTTTCGAAGAGTTGCTTTTAAATTCAATCTCGCGTAATCTGTTTCCGGAATCAAAGTGTATCCTGCTCCCGAGTCGACTTCAAATGATTGACGCTTTCCTTCGATATAAATATCAGTAATATATTTACGGATTTCATTTTGATGTTGTACACTGTGTTTTTGAAATATGTCCACAATGTTATTGATGCTATTAAATTGTTCGTTTTGTGATGAAACGTAATTCGTTTCCACATTGGTTGAAGCGTTGTTTGATTTTTGTTTCATTATTGTTTGTATGCATACTTTTGATACATGTCCCGATTTACCACACGCATTACACTTTAACCTGTTGCTATCAATACGACAACAGTTCGCCCTATGATTAGCACGACCGCACCTTAGACACAAATTGTTGATGCCTAAATGTTGATAGTTTATTCTCGATGTTGATCGGTTTTGCAAGTCTATTCTTCTTTTTGATTTATTCCGGTTTCGATCACAATGCGCGTTACGATTGTTTGTATTACTAGTGTTAGTACGATGGCGTGACACATGATTAACATCTTCAGATTTGATTGTTCCTTGGGAATTTGAAATTTCTTGTGTATTAATTTTACTCGCTTCTAATGCTAGTGCTTTTTCAATGACTTCTGTAAAACTTAACGTATTACTTTGCAAAAGGTGTTCTTTGATCTTCATATCACGAATACCACGAATGAATTGTGCCCCTAAAAAGATTTCTGCTACAGATTTGCCACATTCACATTGAAATTCGCAATTATTGACATATTTCCGTAGTTTTGCAACGTATTCTGTTATAGAATCGCTGTCATTTTGATATTCGCATAAAAATTTATGCTGCTCTACAATTATGTTCGTTTTCGGACAAAAATGTTTTTCCAGTAGCTCAATTAACTTATCGTAGGTTAGCCGTTTCGGATCTTCAGGGGCAGCTAAGGAAGTTAGTAAATCGTAATTCGAGGATCCTATGTACTGAAGGAGTAGCTTTGCGCACATTTCCTTATCGTTGATTAGCCCTTTGACTTGAAAGTGGATTTCTAATCGTTCCTTGTATTTTGATTCTTCGGGTCAAATGTTTCAAAACTTGATAGCAATGTTACTTGAGGCTTTTGTTGATTTGCATTCACATTCTGCTGGCGTTGCATTGTCGTAGTCATCTCTAGCATTGCTGCAATCAATTGATTTAATTGGGCGGTATCTGCCATTATTGATAACGATTACCAGTGTTGATCGCGTTAAAGAATAATAAAATGTACTTCACCTCGTCGCCACTTGTTTTGTATTAAATTTAATTATACAAAATACGTTTTTATTTGATTCAATATGAAAAATATTTATGACATATCATTCGATATATTTGTTATCTGATTACTTGATAATAATGAAATTTTAATACATTACAAGGGGTTACCTTTGGTTTCTTTTAGGGTTTTTATTTTAGTCCAAGTTCGGTCTCGACTATTTAGTTTCCGTCTAAATTTTAATGT